CTTGAGCATAGATGTTGTACCTCATATATGTGCAGTACTTGCTATTTGATTGACAATGTTCACGAGTTTAAACGCAGCCACCAGACAAAGATGACTGGGCGCTGAGCAAGGGCTTCAGCGTTCTCTGAGGGACGGAATCGTTCAATAGACACATCAACACACAGACAGGCAGGCAGACCGAAATTTCTGCGTTCAGGTATCCCAAAAAATAACTATCGTCTTCAATAAGCACAACAAATTATGACGTCAAAATAGGGAGGCAGACGTAATGTACTATTGGAAACCTCTCTTTAGAATAGGCAATACCGCGTGCCTTGAAAGTATACTAACCAGGCAATATATTCAATCAAATTGAAGGACACTTTGAGTGGAAGTGGTTGCTGTTCTTACTCAGAATAGTGCAGCTCAAGTAAAAACTGCCGTACTTTCAGTAAAACAAAATCCACCAACATCTTGAAGTCTCAAGTGCAGTTAGGGATAATGTTGGAAACGTCGTGCTAGGCATGCCGGTCGTCGTTAGAGGTTAGCAACTGCTATGTCACATGAAACTTTTCGAAGACCTGGTGCGTATTTCACGCCCTTCTTCAACGCATTTGAGCAAGTTTCCTATTGTAGATGAAGCTGAATGTTCTCGGTCCGGCTAGCCTTACAAGCATATTGATTGGCGAACTCTGTGTTGCACCGGTCATGATCTAGCCGTTTGTAGGGAACTTTTATCTCTTTCATTATCCCTTGGTCTTACTCAAATCGTGCAAACACCTACCCGAAACACATCTGTTCTTGATCTGGTCTTCTTAAGTTCTCATCTAGTTGAAACTGGTTTTCAGTACGAAGTAATCAATGGCATTTCTGACCACAAAGCTGTGTTCGTTTCAATCCCCTCTCCAATGAATAAAGTACAGCCCAATATTACTCATTTCCCTGACTTTTCTCGTGCAGATGACGCGCCAATAACGAACACCCTTGCATTTTATTTTGATTCTTCTCAAGCGCTTGGTGTTCGCGAAGATGAAAACGTTGATAAACTGGTTGAAGAATTTGAGCGCATTGTTGAACTATGCATTATTAAGTTTGTCCCCCTTAAGTCTAAAAAAAAGAAATCGCAAAGTCTCTTTGATGAATCGCACTTTACTGCATACATCACGTCGCGTTCGTCGTTTGCGGCGCAAAAAAAAAAAGACGCAAGATTCTGACAGTATCGTTCGATTCAATAATACCGTGCTGCAACTACGTACCGAATTGCAAAAAGCTAAAGACTTTTAAGTGTGAATACACTTTATAGGCGACCCCAAACCATCCACCGCCGTCGGCGGCGTCCGCAGTCTTCTCTCTATCTTTAAGAGAAAGAGGACTTGGCGGGCCGCAGCGCGACGCTCTACCGAATAAGCCACGGACGCGACGCTGATATCGGTGTCAGTAACGCGCCTTATATCTTTAACGCTGCTGCGCGCGTCCCCCTCCCCCTTCGCTCGCTCCTCCGCTCTCCTCGCTCGCTGCTGCTGCGCGCGCACCCCTCTCTCTCGCGCGCCCGCCTTCTATCTCAGTCTCCCGTCGAGAGCGGGTCGTGCGATGGATGTCCCGGAGGCAACGCTACCATCAACAACGAATGCAGTACAACCGAATGCCAGCACTGCACCCGTCGTTGGAGGTGACGGTACAGCGGTGGTTTGGCCGACGTTGGAAGACAAGGCGGCGCTGCGAAGGGCTCGTGAGACCGAACGTAAGCGGGCGAAGCGTGCAGCGGATGCCGAACTGCGTGCTCGCGAGGCCGAGTGCAAGCGGGCGAAGCGTGCAGCGGATGCCGAACTGCGCACTCGCGAGGCCGAGGACAAGCGGGCGAAGCATGCAGCGGATGGTGAACTGCGCGCTCGCGAGGCCGAGATGAGGCGTCAGCATCGAGCCGCGAACGCGGCCCAAGAAGCGGAACGACAACGCAAGCGTCACGCGGAGAAGGGCGATGAAGACCGGCGTCAAGACGCCGCTCGTAATCGTCAACGGCGAGTGTACGTTCCCGAAGCCGTTCGAGCCAGTGACCGTGCTGCGCGGGAGAGGGTGCGAGCCCTGGACTTTGCTCGTCCGGACGCGCGTTTCAAACACGACTTTGTAGATCGCAGCTTCGGTCACAGCTGCGCCGTGTGTGACCGGCTGTGGTTCGATAACAACCTGAGCTGCATTTCCGGCGTGAGGAACGAGACCAACAGGTTGAACGCGTTGCGGGTTCTTTGGAACGAGTTCGGAAGACGGTCGGGCGAACACCGAAGCGACGACATGGATGCGCAAGACCCGCGGCTGGCTCCCTTCGGTGCGTTCCGGGTGTGTGCGTCTTGCCGAGAGTCCCTGCTGGCCGGGCGGGTTCCGCCGTTGAGCAAGAGCCACGGCTACGCGTACCCGCCTCGTCCCGCGGACCTCCCCGATCTGAACCCGGTGGAAGAGCGCCTCATCTCGCCTCGACTCCCCTTCATGAGCATCAGGCGGCTCACGCGGGGCAACGGTCAGTACGGCATTAAGGGACAGATCGTGAACGTGCCCATCGACGTTCCGAGCGTGGTGGAGTGTCTTCCGCGGCTGGTTCCCGAGGACGTTGCGATAGACGTGCACGTGAAGCGGAGGCTGGTGAGTCCGGCTATGTACAGGCGCGGACTGGTGAAGCGCGGTAACATCTTGGCGTGGTTGAAGCACCTGGAGCATGCGCCGTTGTATGTCGCTAGCAGTGTGCGCATCGACTGGAGTCGTCTGGGTGTCTTCGATGATGATGATGCGGCCGTTTGTGAAGGTGAACGCGCCCAGGGGGGAGATGACGCGGATGACATCGAGACTGTCTCCGAGAACATAGATTTGGATGACCCCGTGCAACTAGCCATTGTCCTCAATGCCATGTCAAAGACGATCTTCTTTAATGAGGAGGGTGAGCAACGACCACGCGCTCTCTTGATGAGAGATGATGGGGAGCGAAGCGGTGAACTGGACGATGCCGCCGCCGCTGACAAGCTGATCGATCAGTCGCATAGCCTGCACCTCGCTCCGGGTGAGAACCGCGTCCCAGTGGCGCTCTTCATGGATGCGTATGCAGAAGAGCTCACCTTCCCCACGATATACATGGTCGTGCCTCGCAAGATCATCGGTCCGCGTTCCACGCCATTCGCCATGGCCAGCAGCGAGATACGGCGCACCGACCGGCGTGGAGCAACGCCGAAGCACGTCTTGTACATGGCCGCGAAGGTGATGCAATACAACGTTGCGGAAAGCCACATGATGTTCCGCACCAACGAGACCACTGGTTCTATCACGCGCGAGCAGCTCGAGAGTGGCGGTAAGAAGTTCCTGGAGGAGGTGCTGCACCGCGACCTCGCATTCATGCGGGGCGTTCCAAATACGGTCCAGTACTGGCAGGATCGCAGGAGTGAACTCTTCGCAATGATCCGCGAGTTGGGCACGTCGCACGCGTTCCTGACCATGTCCGCGTCCATGGTCCACTGGGAGGCCCTGCTCAAGACCCTGGAGCGGCTGCGGGTTGGGCCCGACGGCACGCCTCGGCCCGAGTCCGAGATGATGGCCTGGGAGCGCGTAGAGCTTGTGAACGAAGACCCCGTTGCCTGCGCGATGTACATCAACAGGATCTTCGACGTCATCATGAACGTGCTCGCCGACCGAAACTGCTCACCGTTCCGCCCGTACGTGATCCGGGATTACTTCAAGCGGGTGGAGTTCCAGCAGAGAGGAAGCGCGCACGTGCACGTGATCCTGTGGCTCGAAGAGGCGCCCGACGAGGAGCTCACCGGTGAGGAAGGTGCCATACCCAAGACCCTCGAGATGGTGGCCCAACTCCTCACGCTTGACACTACGCTCCTCAGGCAGCCGCGCACGCAGACGCATCAGTACACCCACACGTGCTACAAGCGTGGCCGCACCAAGTGCTGGTTCGGGGCGCCCTTCATGCCCAGTGATGAAACGAGTATTGTGGTGCCGTTTCCACCTGCGCCGGAGGGAGACAATGCGGAGAGTGAGCGGGAACGCCAGCATCTCAAGGCCCTCCAGAAGAAGTATGATAAATGCACGAGGGCCTCGAGTCCAGCGACTTTGAGGATCTCGCCTCGTTCCTACGCGCTTTCGGCCTGCACTCCGAGAAGGAGTATATGGATGTCCTGCGCGCCGGCCTTTCGCGACCCTGCGTCCTTCATTGAAGGACCCCGGCGGAGAAGTTTGTGAATGCATTCAACGCGTGGATAGGCCGGGTCTTGGATTCGAACATGAATATGCAGATAATACTCGATCACTACGCGTGCGCTTCCTACATGGTGGACTATGTCAATAAGTCCGACCGCGGAATGTCCAATCTCAAACGCACCGTTGCCGAGATCCTCAAAACGAATCCCAACGACGACATCGAAGCCGTGATCCGCAAGCTTCGTGTGGACATCCTTAAAGGAATCGAAATGTCGGCACAGGAGGCGGCCTGGTTTCTGCTCAAACAGGACATGTCGCACAAGAGCCGGGAGGTGGTGTACGTCCCCACGTGCTACCCCGAAGAACGGGTGCGCGTATGCAAAACGCGTGCCGAGTTGAAGGCGCTCCCTCCGGGCTCCACCGACGTCTGCAAAGCGAACCTCGTGCGAAAGTGCGAGGCCAGGCCGCCTACCCTCAACGTCGTATGCCTCGCCGACTTCGCCAGCAAGTACCGGCCGGCGAAGGGTGATTGCCATTACGTGCTCAGGGTACGGCCAGCTGTGATACGCTACCGCGGATACAACCCCGTTAACGATGTGGAGTCGTATATGCGGGAAAATGTCCTTTTATACGTCCCGTTCCGAAGCGAAACAGTTGATGTGTTGGATGGTAATAGGTATGTGTCCATCTACGAGAACAACAAGCAGTTGATCGAGGTAAAATGAAAAGAATACGACCCGGCGGATGACGATGCTCTGGTCCAAAAAATGGTGGAGGTTTACTACGCCGAGATGCTGCGGCTCAGGCGAGAGAGAGAGGAGGATGAAGAAAGAACAATGCAAGAAGAAGAAGAATGTAATGAAGATGACGGGTGCGCGCTGGTACAAATCCCCGAACGACGAGATGCGGATGCTAGTGTGTTCGCGGACGTGCTGCCTAACGAGCGCCTGCTCCGACTGCTCAAGGAGGTCAGTACGCCGTGTGCTGCGGTACGCAAACGGCGCGGAATCATGGAACGAGAAGAGTACGTCTCGATGATGCGCAGCACCAACCCCGAGCAGTACGAGTTGCTGCGCGAGATTCTGCACCGTCAGACCACGCCGGGGCAGCCTCCGCTGCGGGTCTTCTTCACGGGCCCCGCGGGTTGTGGCAAGACCTTCGTGCTCAAGCTCGCCATGGACGTGTATAACCGCTGTGCGGACTGCTGCAGTGCCGTTGGTTGGGAAGACGGCTTCTCCTCATCCGTCCCTTCCGTCTACAACGCGTACGTGATCTGCGCCAGTACGGGAAAAGCCGCCGTTGCTGTGGGTGGAACCACCGTCCACAGTGCCTTCAAACTCGTGCGGGCTGCCCGTGGAAACCGACAGGACGCCCACCTCGGAGTCATGGGGGACGGTGGACTCCGACCTAGTGACCTGAACACCTTCCGGTGTGCCTTCCGCAGAGTCAAGTGCGTCATCATACACGAAGTCAGTTTGATGTCCGCCGACCAACTCAAACTGGTTGATTGCCGTCTGCGCCAGATCACGCAGCGACTCACCGAACCCTTCGGTGGACTGGACGTCATCCTCTGCGGGGACCTGCGGCAGTTGCAGCCCGTGCGTGCTAGCGAGATCTTCAAGCGGCCCCGCAGTGCTATGGTCTCCTCGGATGCAGCACTGTCACCTGGCATCATCTCGAATACTTCCCGCTCGTGAGAGTCGTGTGCCAGTCCGACGTCACCTTCTCCGCGGTCCCCACCAAGATCGGGGACGGCCACGCGCTCGAGCCCGAAGAAGTAAAGCTTCTCGAATCCAGGCTCGTCACGGTCGAGGAAGCCGCCGAGCGCGCGCCCTCGGCCGTGCGCATCTTCTACTCGAACGCCGATGTTACGCGTTTCAACAAGACCGGGGCCCGTTCGCAGGACGACTTCGTGGTGCCTCGCGCGCGTGATCGGTACCTCGATTGCAAGACGCCGCATTTTCTCGAGATTGCCAAGCGCAGGGTTGCCCGCATGGTTCCCAGCGAGTTTGCAAATCTGCCCGGGGAAGTCATGGCCGTGGTTGGCAAGCCCTACATGATGACTCATAACATCGATCTCGTGGATGGTCTGGTCAACAGTGCGGTTGGAGCCTTGCGCCTGTGTGAGCTCGCCGGCCCGTTGCTCGATGATGGAGAAGGAGTGGATGAAGAAGGAGAAAGAGAGAAGGATGAATAGACGCACGTGAGGCGACTGTGGCTCGAGTTCGATGTACCCGGTACCGGAAAGCTCACGCGTGCGCGCGCCGCTCGGGCCGTTCACGAGGCCCGTTTCAACGGCTACGACCTGACCAGCGAGAACTGGATACCCATCGAGATGCAGTCGGCCACCGTCACGGTAGATCGAAAGGCCGGCATAGCTTGTAAACGGACGCAGTTCCCTCTTGTCCAGGCCAGCGCCATCACCGTGCACAAATCTCAGGGGGGAACCTATGCCTCAGTCGTGTACGACTACCTCAAGACGCACCCGCAGAAGCTCGTCTACGTTGCGCTCTCTCGGTGTACCAACCTCAACGGACTATACCTCACCAACGCTGAGGGAGACCACACCTTCTACCACAAGCAAGACAACCCCGACAAACTCATGCTCGATGAGTTTAGGAGGCTCGAGAATCACCGTCTCGTCACCTTCACGCAGCGCTACCTTTCCACTCTGAGGGACCAGCATTTCCGCAGGGTGTGCGAGGGTGGCTGTAGGGAGTTCACGCTCGCGCTCCTAAACGTCCGCTCTCTCTCGGCGCATGCACTGGACGTTGCCAAAGACCCCGTACTCTCCAGAGTTGATCTCCTCTGCCTCACGGAGACCTGGAACCGCTCCTCCGGTGACTGCGCTGCCGATGTCTCCCTGAGTGGCTACGATCGCGTGACCCGGGCCCTCGCCGAGAGAAGGGCTGGTGGAGTGGACGTCTTCCTAAAGCGCTACCGGTTCTTCAGTGAAGAGCTCAGGCGACAGCAGGACCGGACCCAACTCCCGGTCTTACAGCGTGCCGACCTCGCTCCTGATGCATCGCCGCAAACGTGTCCCACTGATGACCCGCGCTCCTTCGCCCGGAGTGGAAGCCGGGGCGAGTACTGCGGCGTGTGCTTGGTTGGACACGCCTACGCCAACGTCCTCTCGCATGCCGTGTGTACTTCGCCGCTCAGAGACGACTCGCCGTACGCCTCCGTCTACACCAGTGCCTACTCCGACGATGCCGTCCTGGTTGTGACCGTCTACCTGGCCCCGAACCTCTCGAGAGATGGCGTCTTGGAACAGATGAATGCGGCTATGGAGAGTGAGTCAGTGCGCGCGCGTCCCTCGGTTGCAATTGTGGTGGTGGGTGACTTTAACGTGGACGTTAGAAAGGACAATGGCTGGTTGGTTGACCACATGCTGAACAATTACTCGATGACGTGTCTCTCTCTCGAGTTTCCGACCACGATCAACGGTGGCCTCATAAACTTGGCGTTCAGTAGGAACTGTACGGTCCGCTCCGTCTTGCCGGATCAGCTCACCGTACATTTCTCGGATCACAAAGCGCTGGTACTAACCGTGAGCTACAACGATAACGCGAATAGGTGCTAATCTGTAGTGTAGTTTGAGTGTGTGTGTGTCACGCGCTCGCGATGTGTGCATTTAATGCATCGTACGAAAATCGTGAAGTGTAAATAAATAATACTTCGTATATAATGTATCTGTGTACAAATTCTTCATGACAAACAACCCTTAAATTCATTATTACACTTTAATCATCATCATCAGTAATAAAACTACCAAGCATTTCCCCGAGGGTGAACATGGTTAAGTGCAAATGCACGGGGTGATGCTATGAGGGGGATTAAAGTTAAAATCCGTTGGCATTCGCCAGTGAGTTAACGTAAACTCCCCCGTATGATCAAATTGCGATTTCCAGGAACCTTTACATTATAAAAGCACCATAGTGTGATTATTAATTATAATAGTGCAAATTAATAAATACCCCTCATAGCATCACCCCGTGCATTCGCACTTAACCATGTTCACCCTCAGGGAAATGCTTGGGAGTTTTTTATTTTCAAGTTGAGCTTCCAAGATTACTTCAATCCAACCCACGCAAATTTTGGACTTCCATATCACCAACTAAAACTGATACCGTATCGTTTATGCTAGACGGTAAGGCTATTTCAGACCCACTTGAAATAGCTAACGCTTTCAATGTCTACTTTCAGTGTGTATTCACGCATGACAACAGTACTCTCCCAATATTCAGAAGCCCTAGTCCTGAGCTCGCTATTGATGAAGTGTTGATTAACGAGAACGACATCCTTACCATGATAATAAGTTAGACACAAAAAAGTGTACTGGTCCCGACGACATTCGAAACAGCTTTCTTGTACGATACTCTCTATGGTGTGCACGTTATTTGTCAATCATTTTTTGAAAATCCTTATTTTCAAGCACTGTGCCCCAGTCTTGGAAACTAGCCAAAATCTTGCCCTTGCATAAGTCTAGTGACAAGCAACACCTGTCCAACTACAGACCGATATCACTTACCTCAAATTCCGGTAAACCGCTTGAGCATGTCATTCACAATCATATAACGAAATATCTTGAGTCAAATAACCTACTCTTGAACATTCAACATGGCTTTCGAAGTGGTTTTAGCACACTAACACAACTGGTCGAATTTGCGCATGACATATCTAGCAATCTTGACATTGGCAATTAGATTGAAACGTTATTCATAGACTTTTCCAAGGCCTTCGACACCGTTATACACAATAAGCTGCTAAGTAAAATTGATGCTATTTTAACACCTTTCGGCCCTAGAATTTTTTCATAACACCTACAATTTTTTCAACGTAATATTCCGCTTCTTTACACGATAACTAAGTGTTATTCATTGAAAAAATATGCGAGGTACGCCTAATGTAAAGTTTGGAACCATGTCCTCAAATGAGGACATCAGGGCCCAATGGATGCAGTGGAGGCAGAAGCGATTCTTAGTGTAACGGTTCATTTTCATCGGAAACACCACTGAAATTAGTCTACGGCTTCTCAAAAGCTTTCCTGCACCACGATGTTTCTTTACACGCCTGTTCCTCATCCAACTCATCTGACGCTTTCCGCGCTTCTTGGACGCAGTCATCGCTCCCAGCCTCTTGTTTGTTGTTTGTTTCTCTGAGCTCATGGCCCACACCCACTCAGGGGGATTGGCCAAGAAGGCGTAGTGCATTTTTTCTGTGAGCATTATAACTATGTGTAAAAATGGGCTTGTATTTTGATATGACTAATGTAAGCAAAACGACATAAAAATAGATTTCTGGTGTTGTGATTACCACTCAGCTGAGTTTACTTCACCTCACCATTTATATTTTTTTAGTTTTTTAGATACTAAATATAAATATTCAAAAATGAAGTCATCGTCTTCCTTATCTTCATTATCCCCGACGTCTGATAGGTTGGTATTGTCCAACTGAGCGAACATTTGATCGGCGAATTCGAGTGGCACTAATCGGAGCCTACGAGCTCTCGTCGCCGAGTAGAAAAACTGAGGTGTCATTCCAGCACCTGAAAAACAGGCAAAAAAAGCTGTACGGCCACGAGACGCCACACCATCACCAGCAAAACGTGGCAACCACTGAGCCCTCAAGTACTCAAATGAGGACAGATGCTCTTATGCCCGTGATTGCTAAAATACAAATTTCCTGAGAATGTCTGCAGCAATTATATATTCTAAATAGAGTTAAAAACATTCTGTTAAATTTTTATTGCGACATCAACAGCGGCTTACGAGTAAAAAAATATCTTAATGCGCACTTAATCGGCCCAGCGTCTACTTCGTCGTCTTCAATCTTTTTTGTTCGTCGCTGCTGCTCTGATGAGCGCGACAATGCGAGAACTGATGTGAATGCCATTGGGGATGATTTGCGGGTTATACAATTTAGATTTCAGTGTATCTCTTTTTTTAATGGCGTCAGAAACACCTTTTTTTGTCCTGTCCTCGTTTGAGGACGCCATGGCCCAAAGGGTTAAACAACCCTCGATTAACGAACTGGATAGCTAGCTTTCTTCCCTATCTCATTATGTGTGATTCCACTTCACTTCGTCCTCAACTGTCGATGTAACTTCGTGTGTTCCACAGGGATCCGTTCTAGGACCTTTATTATTTTTATCATTTATAAATGACCTTCCGAACAATTTGAAGTCTCAGGTGCATCTTTATGCCGACGACTGCGTCTTATATCAGGTAATTTCTTCTCCTAGCAATCATGTCTTACTTCAGGATTCCTTCACCAGCTTTTGCACATGGTGCAGGCTTTCACAGATGTGTATTAACTTTCAGAAAACTGTAGTGGTATCATTCACTAACAGCCGTTCTCCATTGCTGCATGATTACACTTCCGAGAACACAATAATTCCACGGGCACAAGAGTATAAATACCTTGGGGTTATCTTATCACACAATTTACATTGGTCGCGGCATATTGAATACATCACATCCAAAGCACTGAAAAAATTAGGTTACCTGCGTCGTACGTCATCTAAATCTCCGAAATGCACCAAGTTAATGTTGTATGAAACGCTCATACGCCCTATACAAGAATATGCTTCATGTGTCTGGAACCCATATATAACACGCGACGTCAACAAAATTGAATCTGTTCAAAGGAAGGCGGTTCGTTTTATTTGCCATCGCTACGATCATAACTTTTCACCTTCATCGGCAATAACTTCCTTGAAACTCCATCTCCTATCCACCAGATGGGATACCGATTCTTTGAAGCTATTGCATTCATTTCTTCACTCATCTTGTCGACTATCTTCAGATGATTACATCTCATATGCTGATACTCTTTCAACTACACGTTACCAAGCCTCAACTTAAAGCCTTTCTTTACACACACGAACATTTTCAAGAACAGTTTTTTTCCTCGAGTTATTGAAATTTGGAATGACTTACCCAGTAGTATTCATGAACTATCGTTGTCGGAATTTGCAGACGCACTGTTATAATAAATCTTTTTTTTTTTGATGTCAACCTTGTAATCAGTGTATTTTGTTCATGTAATTGCACCCAATCCTGCAACAGCCCTGTTTTGGGCTGCAGTATTTGATAATAAAATAAATAAAGAAATAATAATGTTTAGCCAACGTGAAATTTACTGTGTGCTGCAAGTGGATACGCCATCCAACACATCAGACACATCGAACGCGAACATGATTCTTTACTCATGCTAGACGAACTCGATGTAGTGCATTGCATGTATGGATAAAAATTGCAATCACACCTCGGTACAAGCTTCAGTGTGATAATGAGCCCTTTTAAATCGTCTCAAATGTTATTAGGCTATAAGCAACCATTGTAGCGGAGACCGCGGAATATTCTTTCGAGAGTCTGCTTCCTCTGACTTAAAGAGTGGTGATATCCACTTCTGGCCTGCCTGATAGGTTATCGTTGCAAGGCACCAGGCTGATTAACTTAGATTGCCTAAAGTACTCCCAGTACGAACAGTGAACGACTGCGAAATTATTTTGTGTGAAATAATGTTTTTTGCCAAAAACTACAATGACTTTTTTTGCAAAAACATTTTTTTCTTTAAAACGTGCTTGCATATCATTGTTATGGGCCTGAGACTCTCGTCTGTAGTAGTGTTTTTCCTAATGGAGATTTTAAACCAGAACTACACATCAGTATTTATTTTTATACACCAGGACCAACCACTGTTTAGAAGAACAATCAAGTGGTAAAAGATTGTGCTGTTATTCTTACATTTTTCAAAAACGACTACTGTAGATGTTTTTCAACGACAAATATTGATGAAACCACCTCGACTCTATTTGGCAGCAGAATTGGTGATGAAATAAGCTACATGGCTACTCCGGGCCATCTTTACCTCAAGGTAGGGGCACACTTTTGAAATCTCTCTAAGGAAACCCTGATGCTGAGTGTCATGCCTTTTTTATTCATACAGTTGAATGGTGGGGTACACTGACACTATATCAGTTGTAAGCCACTCCTGCGCGAGACGCACAGCGCAGTCACAGCGAATGCTGGTAATGTGGCCTTTAGGAGATTTCTTTAAACACTCTTTTGGTAACATTACAAGCACACCCATAGAGTACCCACTATAGTAATGCCATTCATCATCATAATTTTTGTGTAGTAGGCAGGCATTCATTACGTAATATTTCGTCATTCTTTGTAGAAGCGTGGTATCCGCTACACACTTGCAATGATTGTAGTGCAATTGTTTTCGCTCTATCTGACGATGATGAAAAATTATGTCGGACACTTTTGTATGGATTGAAGCACTCAACGGCTCACTATTTACGGAATGCGCAGTGTAGTTGGCCTGGTTGACAGTTTGCTGCTATAAAATGCTTATAATTGATATTCCAAGGTGTTTTTTTATTTACACATTTAGTAGTGATACAGTTAAGCTAGTGATAGGGCTGAAATATTCGACACACGTTTGAACACTGACGCCCCTAGCCGCTTGCCTGTTGATCGACGGCCGATACTCTCTCTGTGCGCCACTATCTGTGGCAGTGTGCTACTTTAATCTGACTTTTCTTTTACCAGCCCCAAGTTCGGTTAAATAAACAGTTTCATCTGATCATCTAGTTCACTCTCTTCGGGGCGTCATGACCCCGTGACAATACTCCTTTTAACGGGATTCTTTCCCCGCCATTAATCGTGTCTAAGGCCACTTTGCAACAAGGTTTCAAACACCGCATTTGCTCGATGGCAGAGTACAGGGCTGGTACGCAGTGCACCCGGGTTCAAATACTATTGTGTGTGTTGTGTTTTCTTCTTAGTTTTTACAGCGAAAGCTGTTACGAGACCACAAGGAACGCGTTCGACGCCGTAGTTGTCTGCCGCCGCCGCTGCCATCCTGGCCCGTGTCCGTACCACTATCGCCTGAAATACAAAAAAAAATTGTAAATAAAAAAAACAAGGACAGAGCGAGATTAAAACCCCGGTCCCCCGAGTGTCAGCTCAGTTTAACGCACAGACAGGCTTCAGCCAGGTGACACGTGCCCCAGAGGTCGGCGTTAGCATGGGTAATAAAGTTTTTATAGAATATCAAAGGAACAGCCAGGCGTCACACAATGCGTATTACGTAACGAGTGGGTCGTCCGATGCTCCAACTCAATAGAAATGTTGTTCTTGATCACCCATTCACTATGGCGCATACCCACTTCTGGCCTCATTCTTCATCATCACCAGCCACTGCATAAAAAGTTGCACAAAATTCACAAGAAGTGTGTAGCGAATACCACGCTTCTCCGAAAAAATGACGAAGATTAGCATAGTGAATTCCGGTCTACTACTATTTTGTGTGATACTATAACGAACACTGGTGGCGGCGGCGGCGCCGGTGGGCAACTACAATCACGCGACCATTTTTGTGATCTCATCAAAGGTTTTGCTGTAAAACGATATCATTCAAGAAATTTCAGTTCCTACGTGTTCATTTGCCAAAGGAAATATCGCAAAAATTCTACATAAGCGGGGAAAAACGATAAAGTTTGTTATGTCTGAGAAACAAACTAATTCAAGGATTGAGGAGCTATGCCTTCATGCTTAAAGAATATTTCGAAATTTTCGTACAAGTCGTAAATTCGAAATCAACTGCTCACAAAACTTAATACAGTGCGGGTACTACACGCTGACTCATTCAAATATATTCAGTAACAACATATGCATGGGGTGAAACAAAATATTGAGAACGTTATAAGTCTGTGAGTAGTACTGCGTTGCATTACTGATAAATGAAGAGCGGAAAGCATGTATTGGCGATTGTGCTAAAATGTCACCGTGCACCTGCAGAGACACGCGCAAGCCCTGTATGAATTTTTGAGACGGACATTATATTGGCCAAGTTTCCTTAAACTGCCCACGCGATGGGCTTTGTTCAAACCGACCACTTGTTCTAAAAATTTATGGGCAGCAAAACATGTGCACCCGCTGTCTTTCTTCATAAAAGAATGCTGTTGGACTCGGCATGGCACATTTCCTGTACATCATATGATTGTGACGCAAAAATCGCTAACTCAACGAAATCCAAGATGTACATAGTACACGTGCTTAGGTGAGCAGCGTGTGAGGACTTCATGAATTGAACGTGTTTCAAAGAATCGTTTAAGCCTGTGAAGTACGAAGCCGACATTTCCGCTTATATCTCTCCTTGGGCATGGTCCTTTGATGAGATGGGTCATGCGCTACTATTACAGATTGCTTTATTTGCTTGTGTCCCTCCTTTCCAATTTGCAAGGCTTCTTCGAAGAGGCTCGAATGGAAACGCAAGTGAGTATTTTTTAAGTGTATTTAACGATACAGTCTTTATATATAACAAGTGTGTTTAATTCTCGGCGATATAGTACAACCACCTACGCACAGCAGCCTAGCGGAAGAACTGAAAGACGCTCCTTTCATTGTGTTTCCTTAGCCCTCCCCCATGTGTCTTCTAATGTGTTAATTTACTTATACACTAATGTCCAGGTGTTACCTGCCTGTGTTTTGCCACGCCCTTATTCTCGCAATCTAGTTCAGTAGTGCACTCCTTTTATTACACATAAAATAAAAAAGGCCAAATACCTGCATGCTTCGGCAACCAATGTCGTCGGAGACAATAGTATTCTGTCCGCCAAGAGAGAATAAAACGTTTACTTAGGATTCTGTGCCGGCGTATTGGTGAGTAGAAAATGCGTTATCTTTGGGCACCATGTGGCAGTAATTTCAGGAAATTGAGTTTTTTTTAGAACGCAGAGCCATTGCTAAGTGGCAGCACAGTGCTGTTTTAATGAAGCGTAGGAGACACCCACATTTTTGTTTATAGCATGTCATTGCATGCGTAGCGTAATAAGCACTGCAGCTTTCAGAATTGCGTACCTATTATTTTAGAAATAAAGGGACACACCACTTAAAACCTACTTATTGATGTGTTCCTGAAACATGCGTATACTTGCTTTTTGATTGACAATGTTCACAAGTATGGACGCAGCAAGCAGGTCAAGATCGCTGGGCGTTGAGAAGGTTCCTAAGCTTTCGCCTCCAACGCCTCCAATAAAAATACTGCTGCTCTGGCGGGAATTCGATCCCGTTAACTGTTGGTCAGCACGCAAGCACCATAAAGACTAGACCATTATGGAGGGAGTGCAGCACATGTCGAAGCAACAGAATACGCATTGCAGCGCCGCCTACTATGACACGGCGTAGTGCGGAAGCTACCAGCTATGGCATCCGCCACTACTCCACGAAGGCGCTGGTGTGGGAGCTAATCTTCAAAGCCCTGGCTGATAGTCTTAAAACGGCACTGCGTTACAGTAGGTGGCGCAGCAATGCAGTTCATAAACATCATTTATTTTACTCATAAAGGCCCTTTTCATAGTATTACATAAGGACGGGAGGTGAAAACGTCAAAAAGCATGGTTATTAATATAAAAGGGGGGACAAAAGCAACAATAACATCATAATCATTATCATGCAATGCTAGAAAAAAATGAAATGTTTACAGAAACACGGAAAGGGAGACAAAGACAGTGCATTAGGCAGAACAAGTTGCATAAAGTTCGTAAAGTTCCTGAATATAGAGAAAGTACCGACACTCTTGTCCATATTCCCTCCAGAGCGGCCAACCCTTCTCTCCAGAGTGTCCAAACATTATCCATATCCCCTCCCGACCGGCCACCGTGCGGGCGCCGGCCATATAACCCTACTCGCGCTGTTTTCATATCAAGAATGTTATTTCACGCGGATAACACGCACGATGCTTGTGGCGGCCCGAGAGGCAAGAGGCGGGGAAGGAGGGTGCGCGGCACGGCGGCTTCGTTAAAAGAAGCGCGGCAATTTCCAAAAACATCCAGAGACTTTGTTTCTACGCGGCTCCACCATGCGGCAAAGCTATCGCTACTGTTCAGGTTTAAATCTCTGATAGTTCCGACCAACAGTTGCTTGTGGTCACCATGCTTTGTCTTGCATGACATCGCTGCCCTTTGACACAAGAGGACGCTAGGCTTCGGCAGGACCATTGCTGTTCAGCTGACTGAACTACATTTGTTTTGTTGTTTCTTTTCTATTTCACTTTATAAGGAAAGCAACGTTACTGGATGAGGACAGTTGGAAAACTCGCGCGAGGAGGCGGCCGCAAATCGTCGCCCATTCCAGGTGTCGCTGGCATCGCTTTGCGACCACGTCACGTGACCTCTCCGCCGCGCAGCCGGCATCGCGCGGAGCAGACGGAGCAGCGACGCGGCTAGCAGGGCCTGCGCTTGCAGACGATTTTTTCCCTGCTGGTAATAATGGTTAAGTAACCTAAATTAAGTAACGTTAAGTAACCTAAATATAAAAAAAAGGCTGGCTCGTTGTTTCGTAACAGACCTTATGCATTAAATTTCAACCATGACAGAGCAGACGATAATGTTTACGCTGTTCTGCTTTCTGGAGAGAAAGCGGACGGTGACTCTGAGCAAGCAATTGTTCGCGGTTGAATTTTGCTCCCTTCGGGAGAACGGTCGGCATGCCGAGGTGTGCTGTGCCAGGCTGTCGAAGTGGATATTCATCGGCAACGTCAAATGAAGTGCCCTTCGTGCAGCGACACTTTTTCAAGCCACCGAAAGACCCCAATGTGCTGAGGGAGTGGAACAATGCGGCAGGCCGTGCAAACTTCGAAGTTACTCAAAGATCATACATATGTGATCGTCACTTTGATGAAGCGGACATTTGCACCTCCTTCCAGCATGTTGTGAATGGCGAAACAGTCTCGATTCCGCGAGGACGCTGGGAACTGAAGAAAGGTGCGGTACCGCGGCATTTTGCTAATTGCGCTGAGCTTGATTTGAAGCTTTGTGTAGAAAATGTTGGCACAAATGCAGCAAGCGTGCTAGTGGCCGAAGATGACATTACCCCAGTTCTTCAGAGTGAAAGTGAGACGTGCACTGAAATGCTTGAACACGAAAACAGGGCTGCCTCAAATGCTGAAAGCATGGAAGTCATCATGAAAGAAAGCTCCACAGGTGAACATTGGTTTGGTGGCATAGAAGACTTGCCCGTGTATGGAGCATGGTGTGTGCAACACACGGATGAGCGTGTTGTTTTTTACAAACTTCAAGAAATTGGTGGCGTAGTTTTTATTGAAAGAGCTGTCGTTATAAACAAAAACTCGACCGTTGTTGTCAGCGCTAAAGGGAAACTTGTGCCGGAATCGTCTTACACCTTTATTAACAGTGACAAGCTCAATTTTACCACCTTGAAAGACGCAGCGCCCTTTCTTCATCTCATTGAGAGCCTGGGTATCTGCAATGGTTTTGATTCTCGTTTATGTCCTTTAATATCAACTTCTAAGACGGCTGAAAGGTCTGGGAGAACATGGAGAAGCAAGCGATGTGCAGTGCTGTCGGCGAAAGCCTTATGCGTTCAGTGCAGGAAAGCAAAAAAGAACTTGCAGTGCAGGCAGAAACGACGTTCAAGAAAGAGCAAGTACGTGCCTTTGCCATCTGCGCTGTTGAGAAATTTAAGAAAGAAGACTATAAGAGCAACAGTGCTGCGGGAGAAATACAAGAGGGACCTGCTAAGCTTGAAAAAAAAGTTGTCATCAGATCCAAGCAATGCACTGTTGAGCGAGGTTTTAGCTGAACTTCCACCACTGCAGCAACTTGCATTTCGGACAGCACTGCAGTCGATGAAAGCGAAATCTTCAAGAGGTGTGCGGTATGACTGTGGGTGGCTGCTGAGTTGCCTTCTCTTGAAGATTTCAAGCCCACGTGTGTACCGCTTGATGTCAAGAATGAAAATCCTCCCTCTTCCAACTTCGACTAGGCTCCGACAAATAATAAGAGGAATGCCTTGTGAGTTTGGCTTTAATAAGCTCTCCCTTTCCAGCATAGGGGCTTTCATGAAGACTATGAAAGGAGTCCAGTGTTACGGCACACTAGTAATAGATGAAATGAAGGTACGCCAAGCCGTAGCTTTCAACCGTCAAACATACAAGATTGATGGGTTCGTAAATTACGGAGACGGTGAAGTTTCAGCAGCTACTGCTGATCATGCATTGGTTGCAATGTTTGTGCCTCTATTCCACTCATGGGTTCAACCGATTGCAAGTTTTGCAACAAAAAACGCAGCCCCCGGACACGTGCTCGCCAAAATAGTTCTTGATGCAATCGTGCAGCTACGCAAACACAACGCCATAGTCGTCGCAGTAATCAGTGATGGCGCCAGCACGAACAAAGCAATGTGGTCCAACTTTGGCATATCAGGAAAGCTTCACACAGCAAACCACAAAGTTCAGCACCCATGCGAGCCAAATCAAAGCCTCTACTTCCTTTGCGATGTACCCCACATTGTCAAATGCATTAGAAACCATCTTCTTCGACACAAATATGGCATGGTAAGTACCACGTACAGTACAATATCGCAATAAATAGTGTCGCGGTGCCAATCAAAATACATTTTCTTCGCAGCACTACATACGACTGACGGACTTTTTTTTTCCCTCTCTTCTTCTTGCTCATAGATTGGTGAACATCGCATAAACTATGACCACTACCGAGTTTTGCAAGAAGTAGACGGCAAAGAGCAACTCCGCATTGTTCCGAAGCTTACCGCTGAACACGTCTGCCCTGACAACATGAGAAAAATGAGTGTGAAGCTCGCAGTACAGGTAAGATTACGAAAAGCTGCTTTTGAAAGAACTTATAGCTTACCTGATTATTTAGGCAAATTCTTCACATGTGAAACACAAACTTAACTGGTACTGTGAAGTGTTCTCCTTAAGTCTTTTTGCGATTAATAAAATGCCCCTATACGTTTTCTGTCCCCTAGCTGCTCAGCCGAAGTACGGCTATCGGCCTTGATGTGTACCGGAGACTCAAGCAAGATGGCCTGGAAGACTGCGAGGGGACAGCCGCGTTTACCCGCATCATAAATGACCTTTTTGATGCCCTGAACATCAAGCTTCCTCGTTTTGGGATAAGGAGCACATCCAAGGAAATTAAGGCAAGGGCGATAAAATGTGCTACTTTTGAAGAACATTCGCAATAGGTAATGTTAATCAAGAACTGAGGCACTGGGCATATAAATAAAATACAAAACGCCGACAAACATTTACACCAACAAAAGCCTAGTTTAAGTAGACATTTATTTTGTAATTGAAGGAAGGTATTATTGAAAGAAAGACGACGAATAAATGTCTTGGAACTTAGAACTTCTCCTTCCAGATAACTGAAATAAACGTCGATGAGAAGGCGACACGCCGCAAGCGTGATTTCAAGTATTACCAGCTTCCATTTTCATTCAGTGGCACACATGTTTCATTAAAAAATCAGGTTAAAAATAACTTTATGCCTTTCTTCAAAGGTCCCTTTTTTTATAGGCGTCGACGTTTGCATGTAAGAGCTAGCTTGCACAAAAAAGTAATGTCTAACATAAACTTTTCCCTTTTCTAGATCATCCAAGATTTCATGATTATCTTGGACTTGACAGAGAGAAACCACGTTGAGAAAGGAACAGCCATGTTCGCATCTCAAGTAACAATGGAGTCTCTAAGGGTGACTTTGTCATCTATCTTGGAACTAACAAATGACCTCCTTGCTAAAGGTGCACGCTACGTGCTCACAGGCAAGCTTAATCAAGACCCCTTGGAGGTGAGATTAGCATAATTCCATAAAACTGCGCACTTACTTCATTGCATGGAAAATAAACAAAACGGTTATGAGGAAGCATAGCGTGGTTTTAAACAGTCGTCATATCTCTATGTGAGATGTGCAATTCCCGCCTGAGACTTGCACTCTATAAATCCTCTTTATGCATTCCATACGCCATGCGTACTTTGACTTCTGAAAGAGATACATACGGTGAACTGACGTACGGCTTTATTACTACCATTACAGAGGTTCTTCGGAATCACCAGGAGCTTTGGAGGTGACGAAGACCATCCGACGATCCTGAGCTTTTCCCATATCTACAGGTTGCTGAGCCTGTACACACCTGTCAAGGCTTCGATTGCAGGCAATGTCCAAGAGGAGCCAACCTTAATACTAGCCACAGTGCAAGAGACGATGAAGCAAGGGAAGAAGCAGCAGCTGGCAACGTATGAAAAGTTGCGTGAGACAATCAGCGCAAAGATTTCCGAGGTTTGCTTGCCTGGAATAAGTTCAGCATCCCACTCGGGACCGACACCGCTTCCGGACCACGGATATGCTTTGCCAGCAGTACAGGAGTGCGTCGTATATTACCTCTGCGGCTACATTGTACATTCTTTTCTGAAGCACGTCAACTGCGCTGCTTGCATAAGCAGCATCCAGTCAACAAACACTAAATTCCCCGCTTCACTACTGACATTGGCAAGAGAATTCAGGAACGGAAGCCTCAAGCATCCCTCTACAGAACTTTACACAATGTTGAAACGCGTCGAAGAAAAACTGTCTCTCGTGCTAGGAGAAAACCATCTGTGCGCCGACATGTTTTGGGATGCGCTGGATGTCATCAAAGACTGCGATGTTCCAAGCGTTGGTTGTTCAGTTCATAAGGACATCCTGACATCGGAGATTGTACACTCATACGTTGTTTTGAGAATGCACTTTTTTACGAGAGATGTTTGTAAGAAGCTGAGTGCTTCTGGCAGGGTGTCTTCTACAAAAAAGAAAGCCAAACTTCTCTAGACTACGCACCAATAAACTACGCAGTGATTTAACATAGAAATGTTGCCAAGTAAAAAAAAAAACAGGAACTTGAACAAATGTGTTTGGTGGCTTTTCTTACAGTTATTGCACAGCAACATGCACAGATCTCAGTGAATTAAGGGCTGTAATGAGGACACGGGAACATCGGAACAGCATTAAATAACCTAGCAGGAGTCCCACGTAGAACACAGCCAGCTTACCGGCGACGCATGTCATTGGTTCGAAATTTGGGTATTCGAGTGTCAAACTAAAATGACGCTGTTCTTTTTAATTCGATTGCATTCCTCCCTTCATGAAGAGGTGACGAAGAGATGAAGGAGCTTCTCCAAGCTCCTTAATTCATATCCACTCGATTGGCATTCCGTGTTCCTAGTCATGCACATTCGATACATTTAATTGTCAATCGGAAAAACAATCTTTACACTTAATAAAACTTCTAGGCGCGTAAAACTTTTTTTTCGCCTTTTGATTTTTTTTTTTTTTTTTTTTTTTTTTTTTTTTTTTTTTTAAGCAAGTGATCTTATCTTCTTTCTAACATATATATGTGTGTCGTAGTAGTAATAAATCAGTTGAAAGTCTGCGCTCGTCCTCGTCTCTTGTGTTAGTTGTCTGAAGTTTTACGCGCCTAGAAGTTTTATATGGATTACCAACTAGCCCAATCCCACACTTTACTTAAGTACACTTAATAAAATAGTTGAATTTGCACAATTTAAAAACTGTATCTACTTACAAACGGTATGCATTTAAAAAATACAAGCCGACTGTTACGAACCATTCTGTTAAAATTTGTTTGTAACTACGTGTTTCTTCTGCAAAAGATTGCTGTGCTGGGAACCAAAAAAAAAAAGTGAGTTGTCTCGTAAGATATACATCATCGTATTATTCTCCCTGACAAGCCACACAGATAACGCACCGCAGCGTAAATGCAGCGGCATTGTATACAATAAAAACATGCGCAAGTTTTCAGAACTCGCGACTGTTTCATTTAGAACGCTTACTGTCGCTTTCAAATAAGAGCATGCTTTTATAGAAAACGCTCAATGTAAGGACTGCACGAGCAATGCGATCTCAAAAAAATTTTCAGGAAATTTCAGTTTATGCTCTCGGAGGCACCTATTCATTAGGCAAGCACAAGCTCATCACATCGAAACACCTGCGGAATGCAGTCAGCACCATCAGCACGTGGCAAAAAGAACCACTCAGACTTCGTTCAGAGCTCCAAGCTGTGTCCACCTTCATCTATGCAGTGGTTGTAGCAGGAAGCTCTCAATATGCATCCGCTAACAAGATTCCTTGAGATATGAAGTGCTCCAAAAACGCTGCGCCGTCCTTCGGAGACGGGGCGCGGAACAGACGACGAGCAGACGACGCACGAAGCTCGTCACATGACCAGGTCGCAAAGCGATCGCAGCGCCCCCGCGTTTTGGGAGACTGTGAGCGGCCACGCCGCTTCCGTGGCGAGCCCATGCAGTTTCCCAACTGGCTCCATCCAGTAACGTTGAAGGAAAGTCAACTTTTTGTCTGTGGATGTGCATACCCCAGGTTACGTTTGAATCTACTGCATCATGCAGAACGAGGCTTCCGTGTGAGCACCTCTTTGGTTGGCGTTCAGTGTTTCAAAAGCGACTGATTTCTTAGCAAACTGTAGGTATTTTGAGCATGGGCATCTATCTATCTATCTATCTATCTATCTATCTATCTATCTATCTATCTATCTATCTATCTATCTATCTATCTATCTATCTATATCTATCTATCTATTATCTATCTATCTATCTATCTATCTATCTATCTATCTATCTATCTATCTATCTATCTATCTATCTATCTATCTATCTATCTATCTATCTATCTATCTATCTATCTATCTATCTATCTATCTATCTATCTATATATCTATCTATCTATCTATCTATCTATCTATCTATCTATCTATCTATCTATCTATCTATCTATCTATCTATCTATCTATCTATCTATCTATCTATCTATCTATCTATCTATTCGCCCATGTGTGGGTGCTCTCGTGATTATCTCCTTACCCGGGTGTAGACCAAAATTAGCATGACCTGACAAATATGTGTGGTGGGTCATGGTATGAATAATGTAAAAATTTCTTCCCGTGCGCGGTAAAATCCTTTCCTCGAGAGAGGTGTGGTACATACCCGTATAACACGGGCCACGTTGTACGACGGTTATGCCCCAGGTGACTGAGAGTTAATTTATACCCAGGATCGGCGAGAAGAAACATCGGTTTATGAAATGCGAGGGTATTAAGAAAACTGACATCACCAGCATTGACTGCATGAATTAAACTGATAAATATTAGGGTGGCAGCGGGAACAAAACCACAGCATTTTGCGTGGCAAACAAGGATTCTACAGCAGATCAAAACTAGATTGCAAAACTGCTTCAGAAAATGATATTATTCAGGCGCAATGCAAGGAAAACGTTAGCTGTGCTTGCAGTTTTGGCTATCTAAGCATTTGAATATTGCATACTTTTCGTTTTATACAGGTCAGTTGTATACTCAAGTGCATTTATTGAAGGTGATTTACGCAGCACAAGCCGGGGCTACCATTCTCGCAGGCACCTAGCTTTTATTTGCATTCAAAAACTTGTTTTCTAGAAAAAAATTAATTCAGGTTGTTTTAACCACTGATCTATATGCAGTTGAAGAAGTATTCCACCCGAAATGTTTAGTGGAACCGACAGTGGAACTCTGTGATACTATTCTCATGAGCTGGAGCTACAACAAGGAAAGTAAGAAATGCGAAAATGGATTTGTCTGCTCCAATTGCAAAAACAGATTTGATAGCGAAGACGAGTGCACAAGTAATTGTCCAATGAGTAAGTATGCCAAATAGAGTTTAGCAGAAATAATGACAGCTGTTAGGGAATAACTAGAAGTTGTTATCACACTTTTTCCTGCATTTTGTTATGCAAAATTTTTAGTGCCAGCAAATTCGACGGTTCTTTATATGGCCTATGGAAGCATTTAAAGAGAGCACTTGAGTCATAGTCATTTTCAGCTTAGTTTATATCCTTAAACTGACGCAATTTATAAACACTAAATGGGTTTAGATTGGCAAACTTCAGACTGAGAAATCTAATGCCATGTTTCACTATTCTTAACTTCATATATATTGAATAAAATTGTCGCTAAAGTATTTTTTTTATTTTCGTGGCAAATCCTTTACTTTTTCATTTTCGTGACATGGATCGGTAAAAGTTCCTTATTCTTCGTATGCTAGGTCCATATCACGCCTAAATAACAATGTATTTTAATTTTATCAGTTGTAAGCTAGGCAGGATTCAGAATTTATTGTGTCACAGTAGTGTTCATTTTTGAAATCTCAGAGAAATCATCCCCCCACCCCCGCGCCTTGTTTTGATGGTGGTGCATTGTTTTCTTTTCCGCTAGTACGTGTCTGTAAAGCACTGTTTCCGTTCTTCCACGTTCGATATTTAGAGATGCATGCAGAGTGGACGATGACCATAAAGATACATTTGCGTCCTGTTGATATACCATAACAAGATGCAATGTGGCATCTTTTTTGATTAGTTTTTATTTTTTGGTTCCGCTGAAGTATGTGTACCGAAGATAGTACCTGTATAAAATGCCTAAAGCCAGGATAGCCAGAGAAGTGAACTAAATTGTAGCAACACAGCACGAATCCTCCTCATGCCTTATATTATAAACGCATAGTTCTCAACCGCTTGATTTTCCAGTAAAGCAGTGACTATTTTGTATGATGATAGTTTTTGTTTCCAATTGTGAATGCCCCTGAAAATATTTTAACAGTCACATGCATAATATTGATAAAAACACTGCTTGAATGTTTCGTTGACTCGCGACTTTTCTTGGTACACAACCTTCTTCACATGTCACGTTTTTGGGAGATAAACAATGGTTTTTGAGACGTTCTGCTCTTTTGCCCGAATTTTGCAGAACGAGTGAAAAGGCCAAAGTGGAAGAATAGGAACTGCAGGTTCTGGCTCATAAATGGTGGAGCCTGTCAGAAAACCTGGCTGAAATTTGTGAAGCGCTTGATTCATAAAATGCGCCGATTGCTTTATTACACAGGGTGTGAGTTAGATGCGAAAAAGTTATTCGTGTACGACTTTCACACAAGGAGATGTCGCGGTAAGTAATACAGTTTTTTAAAGTTTTATTACGAATTCTTTTGTTCTGCGCAACTTCATAAAAAACACTTTAATTCATTCCACATCCAGCTAAGTTTTCCGTAATAATTATTAGTTGCGTTCTAAATTTGTAGGTGCAGGGTGAACTGTCGTAATAGGAGAGTTGTTCGTTATAAAAATACAGTTTGACCAACGTCAAAATTGGAAATGCGCAGCACCTGTGTTTCCACAAGCACCTGTCAATACTATAAGTTGCGGCTGAAAGCTCCGCAGACAGTGTCGCAGACAACGTCCATCACAGACACATAACTTTTCCTTAGCTAGAAAAAGCCTCATTCACATAGCTTTTCATTAGCCAGGAAAAACCGTATCTGATTTCCATGCGAAGAAATACACGTGGCGATGTCTCTCGAGGGCGAGTACGTGCTAGCTCTACCTTCTCTCGAGCGAACGCGCCCCCTAGTTTGTCACACGTTTTACCATGACGGGCTCCGACTGCGACGATATCAAATGCGGACAGCCTGACCGCATAAGCTGCTGCACGCTTTAAGGTTGCATAGCTCCAAGTAATAAGCAAGGCTAGAAAAACAGTACATCTGATCGGCACCTAGCCGTTCTTGCTAATTTTTGTGAGGTATTCTTGGCGTTGCTATGATTAATGATGTGATGATGCTTTGCTCATTTTGTGCGTGGCCTTACCGAGTCATTTCTAGGTTTATCCCAGGTATAGTCGCGCCTGGCTCAGCTGAGGTGCTCATTATTTCCTTAGTCTATAGGCTTGACAAAGGTCTCACTCACCAACGCCTCCTAGAAAAACTATGCCTGGAACGTCGCTCTGTTTTCAATTGGGGGCCTCCTGCCAGCACGCAATCTCGGAGGCCATGCCTCCTGCCTTGTGTTGCGACCGGCCGCCGCATGACAACGCTCGCCTCCGTACCGCTCAGTCAGGTAACATCATGGCTGCTCGGAGGCAACTGTGAGAGCATTGCTGTGTTCGCAGGAGGCACCGTTGAAGACGCTCGCCTTCGTACCAAAGGATGAGGGTGAAATCAGAGGGTAGGGAGCCCGTTCGCGGCTCACGTTCCAGGCATGAATTTTTTAGGAGGCATTGCACTCAGACGCCTAGGTGTTGGGTTTTAGCTCTTGCCGAAGCCATCTATGGCAAATTGTGGCTCGGCTTAGTTCAACCAAGCACCATGGGTGATTCATTGATTATCAATTAGCTATCGTTAACCTATTTATGAGGCATTGAAATGTAGTGGCCACGCATGTCGCACTGCCCTATACTCAATCAAGCACTTCCGAAAATCAAATTTCTTTTCATAGGTTATTTTTTAGCCATATAGTTGATATCAGTTAACTATTATTTGGTTATTACAAGACTTTCGCAATGCTTCGGAGGCATTAGGTGACTAACATTTATTTCTGGCAAACTGCCTTAAAGAAAAAAATAATATATAGAAATTATATCATTCTCGCTTTTTCAAAGAAAGAATCGTGCCCATTACGCATTGTAAGGGGCCACACGTCCGTAAGATGCCCAGCTGCACACTATAATAATGTTCCTGATAATAATGATAAATTTTGCCTCAGTGCTGCGTTGTGGGTGGGCCTCTAAAGTTACCACGAATTACGCTTTGATTACGGGTTGACTCCTCCTGCGATGCTACACTCCTGTTATCACAGGTGTTAAGGAAACTTCGCCCACTGCATGATATTCACGTATTGCTTTTTATGTAGCATTTTAAAGCAATGACGTGGCTACGAGGTAGATCATCGGCTTGACATGATTGATATGTGGGGTTGAACGTCCCGAAACCACCGAATGATTATGAGAGACGCTGTAGTGAAGGAATCTGGAAGTTTCGACCACCTGGAGTTTTTCAACGCGCACCCAACTGTGAGCACACGGGCCTACAGCATTTTCGCCTCCATCGAAAATGCAGCCGCTGCAGCCGAGTACCTTAGCCACTAAACCACCGTGGCGGGGCACATCTGCTTGCCATGTGAACTTCTAGTGTATCATTCTCATTTGAAGTAAACATTTTTATTTTATATATATTTTTCTATTTCTAACTTTTCTGTATGAGAACTATTCTCAGAGTTAAAGACGCTGCAGCTGACACCATTGCTTACAGCAATACCGACAATTTTAGGGGAAGCGAGTTAATAAACGCTCAATATAAAGTTAATATATACATATTTGGTCACAATGAGACTGTCACTGCACTGAATTAGGTAATGTATATATTGTTTAAATAGTTGACTGGCTAAAACATTTCGTCTAGTGAACCACGAGTTTATCGACACTTGCCTGTCTCGTTCATGAAACAGTTAACGAGCCACTTATCCCGCTTGCTGATGAGATAAATTATGTAGAAGGGCCAGCGTAGGGGCTAGGTGATTGTACATGGTTGACACTCGTGACGCAATCAATCACACACAAAAAAAAGACACATGGAGGCACAGGTAGTACACACACGAGAGTAAATTGTTTATTGTCCGAATAGATTAAATTTGAACAAACATAATTTTTATATTCGTCGAAAGTAGGAATTGGGCATTAAGAGCCAAATTAAGAAGCGAGTGTTATAAGAAGAACTTAAGGATGTTAGTCGCTACTTCGCGTATGATTAAACTGAAAAAAGGAGTTCAAAAAAGGCACCGTTGCTTATCCAATTCACTCTTACAAGTTAACACAAACGCTTGAGTTTTTTAGAGCCATTGATATCGTTTACATGAAAACGATTATTTCTGCAGTTGCGAAAAAGCACCAATCTGAACCGAGCAACGACACATGGCCGAAAAAGGAGAAGCCCCGAGGGGAGTCTTCAAAAGCAAGACAAAGACTTCGAGAGATATTAGCAAACAACACACTGCCTCCTGGATACTCGTGGCCTACGGCAGACTTCGTTATGCATGGGAACGAATTTGGTGGAGCTCAATGATGTACCCCCATTTTTTGAGAGCCTGGGCATGCCGTTATGTCTCCTGGTCCTTATTTTTCAAAAGTTTTCAATACAAGGACATAGAGTGCTGTTGCCTAGTCAATAAGCTGTGCGCTCAACGCTGTATCTTAAAGAGAAAATAAACTTCTTTGACTACATCGCTACCAAGCGCACAACGGCTGCCTAAATTTCTGCCGTCATAGAAATATTTTTCATGTAAGCAATACTGAAGTAGATTCATGAAACACTCTTTGAACAAACTGCGTTGTGTGGGAATGCTAATTTACAATGTACGAGCTGACACCGGATGCAGAAATTTTTCATTCAGTTCCCGCAAGACACCGCTGTCGCTGACGACGGATGACGCTACTTGCAAATGCTACTGAATCCTGGGCATGTGCACTGAGGCACTTCACGGTCGCTGCCATGAGCCGCCTTATGAAACGTGACACTACACAGCTTCCTTAGTAACCCTACAGCCAGATGTCTCAAGTGCAAACTTCTTCGTCTCTCAGCAAAGAAACAGATAATCAAAGCATCAGAGAACCCGGCTTTGCCGAAATCATTCGAAAGGTCGTAACAAGGGATCTGAAAAGCATTCCACTTTCTGCATTTCAGAAAGGCTTCAGTGATTTAGAGAGTCACGCGATACACTGATTTGATACAGAAGGGAAAAGTACTGCGAAACTACAAAGTTGGTTTGCTTAAATTGTCATTTATTGTTTTTAATTCAGTCCTAGTAGTTTTCTGAAAATAAAGTTCATTATAATCATTTTCTGTGTTTTCAGAGAACCGCCACTTCAACGTGTTTTCATTTACGAAATAACTGTCGTGCTTTCATCAAAGTACTGTAATTAGGCCAAATATTAGTTTTGTACCCATGGTACAAGGAATATATTGCATTTCGTTTTACCGCAGTTAGTGATGTTACGCCATGACGCGTAAGCCCCATGCGGGTATAAAGGGCAACAGTTATTGTGGCGTAAGAAGATGCCGATTCCACTACCTCATCAAGCTTAAACCTCTTTGTTCCTTGTACAACCGTTATAATGAGTAAGCATCTTCCCACTACTCATATGATGAATGCACTTTGTTTAAATTAGAGAAATAAAAAGGCCTAAATAAAAGGAAAAGACGGAGAGGTTAACCTAGAAGAACTGGTTTGCTACCCTGTGCAGAGGTGGAGAAATAATGGTGGGAAAGAGGATAGAGGTAGAGAAATATAAAATAAATTGTAAAAAAATTCACAAACACACACATGCACAGCGTTCCAATCACAGCCTGTTTGGACAGGCCGGTTAAACGTAAGAAGCGCAGGAGCACCTTGACAGCCTTCTTCTGTGGCATAAAGTCCCGTCGGTAGCGCAAGATTTTTTAGATGCGGAGCATCTAATACTCGAGGCTTGTAGTGCGGCGCCGTCCGCAAGCTTCCTCCTCCTTCTTCCACTATCTGTGCATCCCTTCCTCCTCTACACACCGCGCGCGCTTCACTCCTCCACCATCTGTGCACCCTTCCTCCTCTACACACCGCGTGCGCTTCTCCTCTTCACGAACATTCGCTAGCTGTATAATGTAGCGCGCATGCGCCGTCACGCTTCGAGAACATCGGCAGCTGACGCGCGCGCATGCGCCGTCGCGCTTCGAGAACATCGGCAGCTGACGCGCGCGCATGCGCCGTTGCGCTTCTCCCCCTTCTCGAACATTCGACAGCTGACAGTGCATGCACCGTCGCGCTGTATATATACTCAAGGTCAGCGCTCGCTCGCTCAGTTGCCGCTCGTCGGTTGGTTTGTACGGCGCGTCGACGTCCAAGGTCGCGGTGAAATGAATTCCAACGAATCCACAAACACAATGATCGACGTCCCCTCGACCAGCGCCGCCCTTTCGCATACGTGTGTACGTGTTCACTCATTTAACACCCCCTCTATATATACTCAAGGTCGGCGCTCGCTTGCTCAGTTGCCGCTCGTAGGTTGGTTTGTACGGCGCGTCGACGTCCAAGGTCGCGGTGAAGTGAACTCCAACGAATCCACAAACACAATGATCGACGTCCCTTCGACCAGCGCCGCCCTTTGGCATACGTGTGTACGTGTTCACTGATTTAACACCCCCTCCTACAGCCACGTTAACCAATTTAGCCATCGACCCAAGTAAGTCGCAATTTAACACCCCATTTCACAACCACGTTAACCAATTTAGCCATCGACCCAAGTAAGTCGCACTTTAACACCCCGTTAACCAATTATATGCTCTGCATCCTCCTCAGTGTTCCCCCGAGGGAAGCTGCGGGCAATTTTTTTTCTTTCGAAAGAGTCTGGTTGCCCAGTTCGTGTAGTGCATTGCAGAGTGACTGTCTCAGCAATCAGTAGTGTGGGCATTCACACACTATGCACGAAGTTGTTTCGTCACCACCGCAATGGTCGCATGCTGAAGTGTCGGCCATTCCTATGCGGAACACGTACGCTTTGGTAAATGTGTCACCCAACTATACATTGTACAGCTTTGTGGCGTCTCGTCGGTGAAGTTCTGGAGGAGTTCGAAGTATTCTGAGTTAAAGAATTCGAATGTTGTTCCAAAGTATGAAGGCTGACAACAAGCGCAGGCATCAAGGGTGCAAACCAATGCGGTTAGTGCTCTGTCGTTGATTGATTGATTGATTGATTGATTGATATGTGGGGTTTAACGTCCCAAGACCACCATATAATTATGAGAGACGCCATAGTGGAGGGCTCCGAAAATTTCGACCACCTGGGGTTCTTTAACGTGCACCCAAATCTCAACACACGGGCCTACAACATTTCCGCTCCATCGGAAATGCAGCCGCCGCAGCCGGGATTCAAGCCCGCGACTTGCGGGTCAGCAGCCGAGTACCTTAGCCACTATACTATCGCGACTGGTTATGCTCTGTCGTATTTTCATGTCATTTCGACTCAAATATTTTGCTAAGCAAGTGCGGAAGATCAATTATAAATTCCGCCTATTTTTCTAGGTGAGCATAGTACAGCTACTCGGTTACGTCAACTTCTTCGGGCGAATAATTGAAGTCTGAAGCAGGAAGAAGACAGCTATACGCTATTGTGTCCTCGGGGGCTCAGCTGCTGACCTTCCGCATTTTAGCTACTGATCGATCGAGGCGGACAAGCCATGCCAACTGACTTTGCTTCGTGAATAAAGGTGGTAGTGTGGGTTCTTTTTATTGGTATTTTGTCTTGTATACTTCATATAGAGAGACGATATCCGGTGTAGACGAAGTTATAACAATTAAATTGGCTTTGATGTCACTATTTGCCAAACAATGAATCATATCCCTTGTTGCATTCCCGCACATTGCAGGCGGCGACTGATGACTACGCCTCACAAGCCGCGAGGTCTGCGCTAAACGTGTCACAGTGACAGGCAAAGCTGGCAGAGTGGCCTTTCAGAACCTTTTTACCACTCTTTGGATAACTGCTCTAAGCACAGCTGCGATGCACCCCCTACCCCATATATAATAACTGTTGCGTGGTATGGAGGCATTTACTACGACATCCTGCGTCATTCTTCGGAGAAGCGTGGTACCTGCAACGCTCATGCAAATAATTTCTTTGCGATCTTTTTGATGCTGTGTCTGACGAAGATGAAGAGTTATGCCTGAAGCTTTCGTAATGAATTGGAGCCATAATCGGCTCACTTTTTTATTTCTTTGCCTTTTTTTCACAAATTCCATAGCCTCACGCCTCGCGGCCAATCCCCCATGGTTGATTGTGACAATCTTTTGGGAGTCATCATCATTATCATTGACCCGCTCGCTATGCATTTAGCATTGTGTGAGACCTGGTGGTTCCGAGCAGTGCGCGAACTCTTATATCAGCACGGTTATTTGTTGTTGAAATATATTACAGTTATTACTGATGGCCTAGGCCTTTTTAGTTTTTCGTAAGCTTTACACAAGCAGCTTCACACCAATAAATGAACACTGGCAACTCTCGCACCATTCAGGGTATAGTTACTTATTCGCAAACCACCTGCAGAAATGTATCGAAAGAAATGAGGACAGCCTTCCCAAATCATATCCTGTCTACCCCCCTCCCATGATTCATCTGGCATCAAAGCCCGCAAGGTTATCGTGGCGATGAACCAATAATGAGCTCTGCAAGAAGCGTGGCAGTTACGCATACCAGACGAACGCCACAAACTCGGGCGTTCGTTTTTTTTGGGGGGGGGGGGGTCTGAGCACATCGCACAATCGTACGCTTTTCAGTCGCCTTCGTTTTCTCAGGGAAAAGGGATGAGTTATTGTTGCGACATTCGAAAATAATAACAATGATGCCGAAACATGAATCACTTGCCAAAGGTATTTGTACATAATAATAACAGTATATACTGCATAATACCAGGTTTGAGTTTTTTTGAGTTTTTTTCTTTTTTTTCCTATATCGCTGTCTCCATTTTCGAAGGCCTTTTTCTCACCTATCCTCTCCATATGGCGAAAATATGCTACCTAATTACACTAGTTTTCAATAAAGAGTTTTCTACTCTTTTTTTTCTCTTTACATGAAGCATCTAGGTGCGCCAGTGACACCTACAAACGCAAAAATTGTCGGATGGGGGACCTTGAAGTTTCGCCTTTAGGAGTTGAACGCAATAGCAAAATTCGACCCCTAGTGCGCCCTTCAATCGCTAAGTGCATACGTATTATTATTTTTGTTAGAAACACGCACACACAAACACACACACAAACGCGCACACGCACAAGCGCGACGTATCTATGGTAATGCAGTGACTGTGCAGTGTGGCCACTTCCCTCTTCTATAACGGTGCTCTGCTGTAGTCGAGACACGTTTTTCACAGTGTCTCACAAAAGGCACACACACACACACACACACACACACACACACACACACACACACACACACACACACACACACACACACACACACACACACACACACACGCGCGCGCGCGCGCGCGCGCGCGCGAATGGTACATACAGGTTTTTGATTTGAAGCAAGAGTCGCATGGTTGTCAAAATACATGCCCCGCACTCACCATATCGGAGACCATAAAGAGTCTCACAATGTCTCACAGAAAGCAGCACGTCATCTAGCGTTTACTGTTTGCTTGGTCAACGCCTTTGAAAAGGCATTATATGTTTTCCGCTAGATGGACATAGTTGCTCATTCCTATAGTTGTTTGAAAGTTCCTGTGTGTTTTTTACGGTGATGGCTGCACTATCCCGGCTTTTTTCGACGTAGTTTGACAGCCTCCCAAATGTGCCTACAAATCGCCGAATGGGCTCGTTTTCTTCGTAACAACTGTTGAACAAAATGCGTTAAGGAGGCTGCTTCCACTACATGGCACTTTTGTAGTGTTTTTTTTTTTCAAAGAAATGCACTGAACATCGTAGCTTTGTTGTAGGACATTAGCATGCCAGGCGAACGTCCCTGGTTTGATCCCCTCAATAGGACCGAACATTTTTTTCTTTGTTTTATTCGCTTTTTTTCGATTTTTCGCTCACGGTTGATTTTTCACTCACAACCAACGGTGCCGACGCCGACGGCGGAATTTTTTCAACACAAGCTCTATAACGCTGTCCCTTTAAAAGGAGGGAGAATGCGGCACATACGTGCACCCACACATGTGTGTACAGTACCTTTTGTGTTGTCGTTGTGTCACACAAAGTAACTTTAAAAAATTGTAAAAGTAATCGCCTGCCGTTTAAGCTAACACAAATGTTCAAAGGCCCGAACAACTGCTCAGCAGAGTGGTCATAATACAATGGGGTGGCACTTCACGCGCTCTAGTAGGCCCGTGTATTGCAACCTGCTATTTTCAACGTGCTTTTCTAGCTTCCCAATAACACGGTCTTTAGAGCACCGCAAGATCGGGGCTGAACTTGAACTTGCTGGTTTCTTGCTATTTTGTGTTCTGCTAAATTTTGTGAGAAACAAAGCACGTTGCTTTCGAACAACTATTATCTTGTTTCGTCAGCCTTATTGCCAGCCGACATGTGCTACGCACTTGCATTATGTTTCCTCTTAGGCACCCATTTCGTTCCATTGCATCTTGCGAGCAGCTTGACGAAAGGTAAGAGGCAGCTTTTATATTTATTGAATATCAATTCTAGACGCTTATTTCACCTTGAGTAAAGTGAAACAAGCGTTATAGACAACTCACCAGCAGCGTTTTAGCGGTAGTGAGCTCCGCAAACCTTTTTCGTTACTCTGACTCTCCTACCCATTCTGGTAGTTTCTTTGCCTGCCTTGTCCAATTGTGCATATATCTGTTTTTTGCGCAACCCAAGTTTCCTCTTCACCGATTTGCCACTTCCTTTGTTCTTTATAGCCTGTTCAATTTCCTCAATATTACACCATCTCACATCGAATACCTTACACTTATTATAAACTTCGAAAGATCTGCCAGCTCTATTTTGTCTGTGTGGTCGAGACTTTCATGCTTTGACTTTGCTGAATGAGGTTCTTCGTATCGTGGGACAGATTCCTAGTGTCCTGTCCAACTACCATACCTCCAACTTCACACTCCTTAACGATACTCTTCAGATTATAACTCTTTCCGTCAACGTTAAAGGCAGTTTCTTAAATGAGAGCCGAGTATGTGTTCTGAAGCGAGATTCTGAATCTATGTAATTTCCCTTTCAGTGGTAGCTTACTGAGTGGTTTCTGTCATTGCTTCCTAAAGTGTGGGTGAATTCGAGACTTTACCATTTTATGGTCACATCATCGCACCTTGTTGGGCACTTCCACATTGTGCGCAGTGCCTTTGTGTGCACTCATCATAAAATCTATCTATTTCTTACTTTCCTAAGGGACTCTTCTTGTCCACTTATGTTTCACTCGTTTTTGGTAGAAGGTATTCAATATCCGTGAATTATTTCGTTCTGCTGAATTTGCATAAACTCTTCTGTACCCATGTGATAATCTTCTACTACCTCATCTCCAGCATGCTTCTTCCCTACCTTGGTATTAAAATCCCCCATCAGTATAGTGTACTGTGCTTGTACGTTACTCATTGCCAATATTAGATCTTCATAGAAAGTTTCTACTAACGTCATGGCTGAATGTAGGCACGTAGGTCTGTATAGCCTTCATCTTGTATCTGTCTTGAGTTTCCTTACGATACCTACCACCCTTTCAGTATTACTGTATTACGGAATCCTTAATGTTACCAGCTATATTTATGTGGATAAAGAACTTGAATTCCGGTTTTCTCCTGTCAGCCAAGCAACGATAGCAAGAGAACAGCCCATTCTATAGCGCTGTGTATGCCTCATCTGTCCTTCGAACTTCATTGAACCCTGTTACATTTCATTTAACACCCTCGAAATACTTGATTAGCAGAGCTAAACATACCTCACTAGATAAGGTCCTAGCGTTAAACAATACTAAACTCATATTCCAATGGCGGCCTGTCCATACCCAGCTATTCTTAGCACCCTTTGCTGCATCGCAGACCTGACCACGTCCATGGTCAAATGCTTCGCAGCCGCTGGGAACTCACGAGCGAGGATATCCATGTGGGAGGTCGTGGAGGTAGTGGCCAGATAGTTTACCGGGGTGTCCAATCCTCTGGTGAGGGAGTGCGTTACCGGGGATAGCAGTAAGACCACACCCCAGACCTGTTAGTGTAATTTCATCGTCATGCAGATATTTATTAAAATCCAATGGGGAATTCTGCAGCACCGGGATTCGAACCACGAACCACCGACCTCTTGCACGCGAGGCTGATACTCTAGCCACTACGCCATCTTGGCATCTATCTAAAAGATAGCCATGTACAAAACGGCCATGTGTAGCCTAGGTCTACCATGGGGTCCACAGAGGCTAGTAGGGTGAGAGCTGTGATATCAGGTAAGGACTTCAAAAAGGAGATGGGTAACACATAGCATAGTATTGATTGACGTCGCCCAAGCAAAATCATAATGTCATAGCCACATTTATTGCTGTAAAGCAAGGGAGATGAAAAAATGAGAGATCTGAACACGAGAAAAAAATGAGAGGGGCAATTAAGCACAGCAAAGCCATGCGTATTGTAATATAAAAATGAGTTGGAAAGAGACGCAAAGATGAAGAGTGATTTCAAGCTAACAAGGAAATAAAGAAGGAGACAAAAAGAAGAGGCATGATGTCAACGCTTCATTATGAATGATGACATCCTTTCTCACCGTGCATGACGAGAAGGCTGTTACTTTGAAGATCCATCGAGTGCCTGCCCAAAAATCCCAGCCTCCCATAACGGCAAGGGAATCACTGAGCCTCCCTTTTAACAGCTTTCTTACGGAGCGCAAAACCTCACATTTGATTTTCCAGTGTTATTTATATTATATGCATTTTTTAAAACCGACACGTTGATATTGTCGTGACGTGAAGACAGAGGTCGTATTTGAAAACGCTGAGAAATCAGCAGCGGGTTGGCCTTTTTATTTTCCGTGCGCCAGAGAGTTCCTCGTGCTTCTCGTTGTTGCGTTCTGCATAAAAGCGTCCAAATGCGCATATGCACAGTCGCCTTCGTCTTTCTCGCAGGACGCACGTGACATTTGCCTTCTCCAAAAATTGCATCGTCCCGATGCGCAGCCAAGGCGCTCTACTTAAAAAAAAACGCACATATGCACCGGAACCCAAAGGACAAACGAGAGTTAGTTGGACAAGCAGGGTTTCATCCGGATGACATGCACGATCTCGGGTGAGTGGTTTCCACGACTAGAACTGCAATCGCCGTCGGGAATAACTTCGTAGTTGATGTCGTTCAATCGTCGGGTGACTCGATATGGGCCGAAGTATCGTCGTAATAGCTTTTCTGAAAGTCAGCGTCGACGTATTAGGATCCAGACCCATACCTTGTCGCCTGGTGTGAAGGTTACCAATTTATGTCGTAAGTCGCACTGTTTCGTATCTTTGTGTTGCTGGTGACAAATGCGCACGCGGGTTAGCTGTCGGGCTTCTTCGGCACGCTGACCAAATTTTTCGGCGTCAGCATGAGTGTCGTCACACTCGTGCGGCGGCATAGCGTCCAACGTTGTATTGACTTTGCGCCCGTGTATTAAACTAAACAGCGTCATTCCGGTAGTTTCCTGCCGGGCGGTATTATAGGCGAAGGTCGCATCCCATTTCATCCCAGTTGTTGTGTTCTGTGGCGACATACATGCAGAGCATGTCTGCGAGGGCCTTAGTAAGCCGCTCTGTTAGTCTGTTCGTTTGTGGATGGTACGCCGTTGTTCTCTGGTGAGCTGTAGCGCTGAGCCTGAAAACCGGCTCTAAAAGTTCTGTCATGAACGCAGTTCCTCTATCCGTGATGAGAACTGTTGAGCACCATGTCGAAGGACGACGTTTTCTATAAAGAAATGAGCCGCTTCTGCTGCAGTGGCCCTCGGCATGGCTTTAGTTTCTGTGTAGCGAGACAAGTAATCGGAGGTGACAACGATCCATCTGTTCGCTGTGGTAGAAGTTGGGAATGGGCCCAGGAAGTCCATTTTGATTTGGGCGAATGGCTTTGCTGGTACTTAGACGAAATGTAATAAGTCTGCGGTCCGGCCGGGGATTGCTTTGCGTTTTTGATAGTTGGCACAGGTTTGGACGTGATGTTTTACAGCAGCAGGTAAGTTCGGCCAGTAGTAACTGTTTTGCAGACGCGACATTGTTCGAGTATAGCCGAGATGACCGGAGGTTACTTCATCATGACAGGCTTCCAGAATTTCTTTTTGCAGTGATGCAGAGGCGACGAGCAAGTATGGGCTGCTGGTGGGACAAGCGTTTTTCTTGTATAGAACGTCGTTCCATAAACAAAAAGATGGCAGTCCTCTCGCAAAAACTCGCGGAACGTCTTCACGTTGTCCTTCTAAGAAGTCGATACGCGGAAGCAGGTCAGGGTCACTGTGCTGCTGTTGTGAAATAGTGGGCGCGTTGATGACTCCCAAAGATGCGGCGTTCATAGACTCGTCACTAATAGCGGCAGGCTCGACGGGTGACCGCGAGAGACAGTCTGCGTCGGTGTGCTTCTTCCCTGATTTATAAGTTATGGTCATATCAAACTATTGAAGATGAAGGCTCCAGCGTGCTAAATGGCCGGATGGGTCTTACAAGTTAGCGAGCCAGCAGAGCGAGTGGTGGTCGCTGACAACCTTGAATGAGCAGCCGCACAGATACGGTCGAAATTTGAGAACCACCCAGACCACGGCGAGGCACTCTTTCTCGGAAGTCGAGTAGTTTTTTTCCGTGCGAGAGAGAGCTCTACTGGCATAGGCTATCACTTTTAGAAAATGATGTTGATGACATCACTTGCTCGGAGTTATTTTGCCATTGTATCAGTACGGCCCCCAGGCCTACATTGTTTGCGTCAGTGTTAAGTGCTGTTGGCACTTCCTAGTCAAAGTGCGCAAGAACCGGTGGTGTTTGGAGACGTTGGCGTAGTTCGTTGAAAGCAGATTGTTCCTTTTCGCCCCAAAGAAAGGGGACATCCTCTCGTGTGATCCGCGTCAAAGGCGCCGCAATAGACGGAAAGTTGGCGATGAATCGTCAATAATAAGCGCAGAGGGCTAAGAAGTGTCTCACTGCTCTTTTGTCATGCGGTGTGGGAAACTTTGCGACAGCGTCGAATTTGCCCGCGTCAGGTCGAACACCTTTGTGGCTGACCACGTGGGCTAAGAAGCAAAGTTCACTAAAGCCAAAATGGCACTTATTTGGTTTTAAAGTGAGGCCAGCCGAACGTATAGCTTGTAGAACTGCTAATAATCGACTTATGTGTTCCTCGAATGTAGCTGAGAAGACAATGGCGTCGTCTAGATAGGCCGTGCATGTCTGCCACCTAATTCCTGATAGCACAGTGTCCATTAAACACTGAAAAGTGACTGGCGCTGAGCATAAACCGAATGGAAGCACTTTAAGTTCATAAAGACCGTCGGGCATCACAAAGGCAGTTTTCTCACGGTCTCTCTCGTCGACCTTTATTTGCCAATAGCCACTTCGAAGGTCCATCGATGACAAATAGCGTGCATTACGCAGCCGATCAAGAGAGTCATCTATGCGTGACAGTGGGTAGACGTCTTTCTTCGTGACTTGATTTAAATTGCGGTAATCTATGCAGAAACGCAAACTGCCGTCTTTCTTTTTAGCCAATACCACGGGGGATGCCCAGGGACTTTTGAAAGGCTGTATTACGTCATCTTGGAGCATCTTCTGAACTTGCTTTTGGGTCTCCTCACGTTCTTCGGAGCCACATGGTATGGGTTTTGTCGGATCGTTCATGTATTTTCTTCAACGATTATTCGGTGCCGGGTTAGTGGTGTTTGCTTGACTTTCAACGTGCACGAAAAACAATTTTCGAACTGGTGTATCAGCTCTATAGTAGGCATTGTTTTTCCGAGGGTGACAGGGTAGAACGAATGTTGACAGACAAAGGTGTCGAGGCTGGGACGGTGGCGTCGTCCGGCTGCAAAGCGAAGCAATCTCTGGCTCGGTCCACGTCGTCGTAGTGGGCAACTATGGTGCCCTTCTGGATGTGATGACGCTCGTTGTGGAAGTTGGTGAGGAGCCCTTCTGCCCGCCCATCAGTTAGTGCCAGAACACCTCTCGCTATTGAAACACCTTGCGTAAGCAATCGCGTGTCTATTCGCTCCGCTATCACCTCATTACGGCACGGCCGTTCACACAACACCGACACAAGGCAGCAAGATCTCGACAGCAGCATCACATCATCGGCTACACGTAAACGTTGCGTTTGTTCTTCAGTGGTGGCGTCGACGTAAGGATGGGCGGAAAAGGTGACGATACGTTCTGAAATGTTGATGGGAGCACTGACTCTCGTAAAAAATTCATACCCAAAATCAGCTCTTTACAACAGTTCGGTAAAATGACAAAAGTGGCGACGAAGCTCGAATCACCAATCACGAGCCGAGCGATGCATGTACCAGTGGCATCATTAGCTGTCCACCAGCACACCTTATGCTCGGCCCACTCCATGGTGTCTTGACCTTCTTAAGGCCATCGGCGAGCTCTTGTCTCATAATAGAGAAATCAGCACCAGTGTCAACCAGTGCTGTTACGTAGTGTCCGTCTATAATAACGCTAAGGTAGGCATGTACAAATTCATCGGCATTGGTATTCGTGGTTGTCATCGTCTCCGTCATCACCAGCGTCACGTCGTCTTTGTGTAAAGGTAAGGGGGTCTTTTCGGCATCTCGGCAATTGGCAACCTTGCCCCGGAGGTCTCGGCAGTTAGTTTCACTGGCACGGGCTTGGGGAGTGGTTTCTGAAGGCGTCAGCGTAGCTTTGGCGATTCGGTTAAGTCTGACCTCGTGCAGGTGAGGGAGACCACCAACGACGACTTGGTGGCGACGCTTGGTTGGTCGGCTGGTGATCAGCACCATAGTAACGAGGGTCTTGAAAATAAAATGAAGTGGGACAAGAAAAGTTTCCAAACCAGGCTTCTCGATGACAGCAGTAGCGCGAGATGTGGCCCGATTCGCCGCAGTTCAAACAAATGGGTCAACAGTCGGCAGTGCACCACAAGCCGGTCGGGCGTACTGGTGGTCACCGCACAGGTTCCCGCTGCCACCTAGGCAAGGTAACGGGCCATGGCTGAAAGGGTGCTTCTTGTGGGACAGGCGGATGACGGCGGACGGTATGGGCATAGGTCAATGGACGTGGTTCAGGTGGTGGCACCGGTGATGGAAAGGCTTGGCATAGTTCGTGGCGCACGATTTCCGCAGCAGAAGCAACTGGAGGCTCAGTAGACGGGAGGCCGAGGGCTCGCAGCTCTTCCCGAAGAATTTGCCTAATCATTTGTCGTAAAAAGCTTTCGAAAATGGCAGCGTTTTGAGCGGTGGCACCAACAGGCGTTTGGTCGGGCAGGCGGTCAAAGTGGCGGCAGCGTTGCCGGAGCGCCCGCTCAAGGACAGTCGTCTCTTTTATAAATTCATTCACTGCTATTGGATTTCGTACAAGACCGGCGAAAAGCGGTTTCTTAACTACCCGCATCAGATGACGAACTTTCCTCACCTCGGGCATGTCAGGGTGAGCGCGGCGAAATAGACGGGCCATTTTCTCAGCGAACATGGCGACGTTTTCGTTCACCTTCTGCACGTAAACTTCACTCATTTGTTGTGCAAGATCCCATCAGCCCACATTCGGGAACGTCTCGAGAAGTTTTTGGCGGAAATTGTCCCATAGGTTTGAAAAGTAGGCTCCCTGTTCTCGTATCATGTGCGAACGCTATTTTCTATTGCGAAGTAGGCACGGCCAAGTTTCTCTTGCACGCTCCAACGATTCACCACAGTGGTCTGCTCGAACTGGTCGAGCCAGTCCTCGACATCTTCATACGGTTCTCTACGGAAGACTTCGGAAACACGAGGAGTCTCAAAAGTTACCTGGTGAGGATAAGTCGTCTGGGCCGGAGGAAGATTCGCAGACATTGAAGGGGCTGCCATATTGGTACGAGCAGATGCAGTCAAGAGTTCTGGACTTAGGCCTAGTAGGTGCCGGCTGAATCAGTGTACTGGAATAGTAACAAGATGTTGAGGCACCGGACTGGTTGTACGGTCCCGAACAACGCTTTGCTGCATCAGGTTGCAGGCCTCAGCACCTCCACCAGTGTCGCGACGTGAAGACAGAGGTCGTATTTGAAAACGCTGAGATAATAGCAGCGGGTCAGTCTTTTTATTTACCATACGCCAGAGAGTTCCTCGTTTTTCTAGTTGTTGAGTTCGGCGCGTATGCACTGTCGCCTTCGTCTTTTTCGCGGGACGCACATGACAATATTAAGGAATTTAGTTTTTGAAGTATACGTGGTAAAAAAAAATGACCCAAACCCTTCTAACTATTACACAAACGCGTGTTTTCCAGGTACCCAAGCAACATACAAGAAGTGCCTGACAGAGGCAACAGTGGAGAACTGCGAAACAATTTTGTTAAGCTGGAGTTATAACAATGAAACGAATGAGTGCGAAAAAGGTTTTGTTTGTTATGATTGCCTCAACAGGTTTGACACGTTTGATACTTGCTTTCTCAACTGCAATACGGGTAAGTTCACTCACTTCACATTTTTACACAGTTGTACAGTTCTGCGAAAAAAAAATAAATGAATAAAATATGCAAAGCCTAACACATGTCCCCCCTGAGCTATGATGGCATGTCAAAAATGTTTTTAGAATGTCAATTGCGACTTCTCAGCGCATTCAAACTATAGAAAACATAAAGAGGAAAAAACACCCAATGCATTCACAGAGACTTGTTTTTCTTGCTTTGAATTTGTGATCAATCTTAAAGAAGAGAAAATGAAGAGAAAGATAGCCAGAGAGGTTAACCAGCCAAGGAAAGCTGGTTTGCCATCCTGCACGTGGGAACGGGAAGGGGAGACTGAAGATGGTGGTGATGGGGGTGTTTCACTGGCGGGGTTAAACTGACACACCTGGCTGGCAATGGTTCTATCTGAGCAACTCTTTTCATGTAGCTCAGCTCATCATACAACGACACGAAAGAGAGAGAAACATAGCACACAAGGCAGAAGATGCGCAAACATGCTGTCAGTCGCATGCCAAACACGATGGCGTTGTATGTGACACCACTGTCAATGCCACTTTTCCAAGTTAGTCTTTCATGAAAACTTCAGTTCATCGTTCGCCTTTAGCTGTAATGGACTCTGTGGTTGACATTCAAGAATATATTAGGACGATAGATGGATGCGAAAAACCCTAAATTCTCAAAATAATTATGCAGCAACTTGCTCGGTTCTCAAAAGTCATACTTCATAGAAAATTTTGAGTATCTCTCTTATGACGACAGTGATGGGCTGGTTAAAGAAAAAGTTTTTCCGCTACAGTGCAAACTATAATTTCCCGGCTTCATTCGAAAAAAATATTATGTACTAACAAAGTCATTTCTATAACCATCGTTGCTACATTTATATAAGTCGCTGAGTGCTTCATTCTGAAGTGCTTGTTAGAAGGTTATGAAATGTATTCTTCAAATGGGATAATGCGATCTGCACCTGCTTCTCCTAATGATATGGAGGCTGTAGCCAAATATTCAGGCACTTGAAATGAAAAATGGTTTCATGGCGCACGGATTCGGTGAAGACGCAGTGAATTGAGAGGAATAAACTGATTTATTGAATATGTGGTGTTTAACGTCCCAAAATCCCCGTTGGATTATGAGAGACACCGTAATAAAGGGCTTCGAAAATTTTGACCACCCAGGGTTCTTTACGAGCACCCAAATCTGAGCGCATAGACCTACAGCATTTTCGCCCCTATCGAATTCGGATCCCGCCACAGCCGGGATCCAATCTCACGTCCTGTGGGTAAGCAAGAGAGCATTTCGTCCACAGTTGTGGGCCGAGAGATGAAAATACCTGATCGTCACACAACGAGGTCCCGACTTCAATCTGCCATATAAAAATCATTCCTCGAACTTTAATCTCCAAGTCAGCAATGTCATCCTGACAGTTACGGTTGTAATTGGTATAATCTGAATTAATTTAGACTATGGGGAGTTCATTAACGTGCCTATAGAGATACGTATTCAAGAGTTTTAGCAACCAAACTGTTCTTAGGCCTGCTTTCTCGTCTGTTGGCGTAGCGCTGGTCATGAGGCCCTGTGTGTTGTCAACAAGGGGCTCGGGTTTAAGAGGTGCGCGGTGCTTGCTGACCATTTGTTGTTGTATAGCACTCGTTTCTTCACGCTTTTGGCAAACAATGCACAATAAATGCCTCAACATCTCTGCGAAGACAGGTCTCAGTTTTGTGCAATACAGATTCCTATGACAGAAGGATCAGCCATGTTATTCTTTTTTGTTAGTCATTTATATATACCGTTAAACGCAGTGGCTTCTCCGTATCAATCAATCAATCACTCAATCAAATCTTCATTTCCAACATTTTTTTAAATGCGCATATATGCCATGATATAGTGTCTCACGTGTTGGCTTGACCTGTCATGTCCCTCACGGTGGGCAGTGTAGGCGCGTTCGTTAGAAAAACCAATACGTGCCTTGAAAATGGCGTCAGTCTCACAACTCTGCTATCGGTTCACTAAAAGTAAAAAGTTCGGCAGGTCCCACGTACCTTGGAGATCGACGTTATGCGGAGCAAGCGGAGAGAAGGTGCACGTGTTGCAATTTTTCTATTGAGCGACATGGGATGAAATGACGCTAAGGATATGCACAAATCTTGCACGCATGGACTTTTGTTGATAAGTTGCAGATGTTTACATAACCAGTTGTTTGCACTTGCGCGACAATGCGACGAGTAACATTAGTATAAGCAAAACCAGAAGCGATACGCTGATTCGAAGTGCTGGTGCTCGGAGAGCTGATAGCCCTGGACGCTGCTACATAAATTAGCTGCATGTTGGCACTCCACTACCAATAACGTTCACTCGACGTGACGCCTTTACACTATAGAAGTATGTATGTAATCTTTATAAAATTGGATAACAAACACTGCAACCACAATGAAGGTTTCACAAACATAAGAGTAAATTAGAAAGTATTTCTTAGTCCTGGCATGGCTCTGTGGTAGAACAGTTGATCGCCACACAGTGTACTCATGTTCGATTCCTGCTAGGACCCTTACATTTATTCTTTGCATTCGCCGGGTCAATGCTGCCGATATCAGGTTTTGTTAATGGCCACGCGTTAAAATTGCCCTAGCCTGTTCTAATCGTTTCTGGGCAGATACCAAGCGTCAGTCACCAGTGGCCCATACCTACCCGTGGGCATGTGCTATCGTCTGGCGGGAAGTGTTCGACGAAGTAAGTGACGGGATCTCTGTATTATTCGTGTCTTGACCAGCGCGTCATATTTGTCAAACCATCCTTCCCTTCTGTACATATTTATTATCAGTTCAGGTAAAGAGGGTGATAACGAGAGCACCAGGCGTAAGTGGCTAGATAGCTAGTTGGATGGATACGTAGAAAGACACCAAAGTAGTTGGAGGAGATAAAAAAATGCTTTACGCTTAAAAAGTAAACAGTTAGGTCCAGAAATAGCCGAGCACGTTGGTGCAGCTGAAGCTACTCTAGATGTCGTAGGGAACTGAAGCTGGGCATGCCAAGTTAAAAAAGAAGGAACACCTTAGGGTAAGCTGCGTGCATTCGGACGCATAATTCCTACAATGACAGTGGGGCTGAAACAGCTTTCCTTACATGTCCGCTTGCCCCGCCGCGGTGGTCTAGTGGTTAAGGTACTCGGCTACTGACCCGCAGGTCGCGGGTTCAAATCCCGGCTGCGGCGGCTGCATTTCCGATGGAGGCGGAAATGTTGTAGGCCCGTGTGCTCAGGTTTGGGTGCACGTTTAAGAACCCCAGGTGGTCGAAATTTCCGGAGCCCTTCACCACGGCGTCTCTCATAATCAAAGGTGGTTTTGGGACGTTACACCCCACATACCTTACATGTCCTCTTTCACGCTTGGTAACACCTGTGAATCATCAGAAGAACCTCGCAAGACACAGTCTGATGAGCTTCCTTTCGTTTATTTTCCGTTTCTTTTATTGAGAAGCTTGGTTCAGGCAGATCGCTCAGTGGATTGTACTTTTGCAAATTTATTGCGTTTTTTTTGTATATCCTATATTTATTTATGTGGCTAGGTAAAGGTTCGGTTAATGAATAGAAAAAGTCATTAGAAATGGCAACTTAAAAGGACACCGAAAAAAAATGGTTGACCCGTATTTTACTACATTTGTCAAAATACCAAATGTAAACCTCATGCTGAAGCGGTGGTCAAGAGATGTTTGTATATTTTGAAAATGAACAAATAAAAAAGAAAATATTTAGTTCGTAACCCGGCCTTCAGGTCTGGCTACTAATTTGCCATGAAGTCAAACATATTGACTGAGTCTGCTAAGGTTTATTGTTTTGTAGGCGGAACAATCTTCTCCTCTGTTCCAATGGAGGTACACACTTCAAATATCGAGGCAAAATAACGTTCATAAGTAGTATGTGCTTATATTACCATAACAAGAATGACTGGTGAGTCCAGCACGTCTTACGCGCTTTCAATAGCGCAAGTATTGGCGCGATATTCAAGCCTTACACGTGTACCACCTCTGATGACGTGTGGGGTCTACGGACCCAGAAGACCAGCGAAGGGCCGTCCGGCAGCTCGAGGTCGCACTGGCGCTGCAAAGGCGAAAGGGGGACACCCTCAGTAACCCGAGCGGCGACGGGGCACGAAGGCCTTGAGGTCTAGGCCCGCGTGACATTAGGACTTCTAGTGTAACGTGAGATAGGGTGAACCCCACGCCCTGCGCGGCCGGAGGGAATCCCGCATGCTGGAACCCAATAAAGTTTATTCTCTCTCTCTCTCTCTGATGACTTAACTGTGATGATAATAATAATGTGTTCCTCAAATATTGAGTTAGCCTTGTACTTCTATATTTAATTGATTCGGATACACGGATACAAAAGGACACAGAGGAAAGAGAGAGAGAGCAAGCTGGCAAGTGCTACCAGGAGGGGCACAACGGCTGCTCACTTTTTCGGGAGGAAAAAAGAAACAGAAGAGAGAAAGAGGAGAGGGAAGCAAAAAAGAAATAATGACGAAGACTTAGACAAGCATAAGTAAAAAAGTTCGACTTGAAACAAGTGACCAGGTCTGTTTGGTCCATAAAACAAAGTATAGCACGATGGGCCTGTTCGCTTACGGAAGCAGTATCTCTGGGGACAGGTAATCGTTAGGGCCTGCATTTGAGCCCCTGGAGTTTAGATTCCTTAATCAGCAAAGTCCGCTGCACAGAAAATGCAGGACAGTGCACTATGAGCTGCTAAAATGTTTCTCAGGAGCCACAAGCAGCGCACAATGAACTGTCAACACGCCCTTTTCGATGTAATCATTTGCACACCAGCACAGAGCCAACTCCTCATTTCATTTCATTTCATTTTATTACCTCAAAGACCCCTTAAAATGGGTATTACATAAGGGGTGGGAATACATTAGTACATAATTTGCTTAATGCATAACTAAACACAAGAAAGAAAAATACATGCGCTAAAGTACGTAATTTACATGACATGTAACTCAACACGAGAAAAATACAGAAACATACATGGGCTAGGGTGTTACATACGTCGGAAAAAGTACAATAAATAATACATCAGCGCTAGTTCGTTTACATAACAGCCCTCTTGGACGACAAGGCAAGCCGAGGCCACGAACACGGCGAGGGAATGATGCGTTTCCTAGACGTCGGTCTGGGTGCTGCTTTAGGAGGTGTCGATGTATGAGCAGACGAGCGTTGCCCATCGTACGTTGCATTCCCGTACAGTCACATTCATCGTGGTAGCACGACAAAGCAAGGTGACCCACTTCTTCGTTGCCCGCAATGCCCAGATGCGGAGGCACCTATACTGTGCAGCTAGGCATACCTCACGTGAGAGATTAATGTTGGCGAATTATATTATTGTGCGTAAACTAGGAATGCTGGTCTCCTTGCAAATGATTCGGCTGTGGGCAGCATGAGAGTCGGTAAGGATAGCAACCTTCGATGCTGGTGACCCATCTTGCACGTACCTAAATACGATTGATTGATTGATTTGTGAGGTTCAACGTCCCAAAGCCACCATAAGATTATGAGAGACGCCGTAGTGGAGGGCTGCGGAAATTTCGGCCACCTGGGGTTCTTTAACGTGCACCCAAATCTGACCACACGGGCCTACAACATTTCTGCCTCCATCAGAAATGCAACCGCCGCAGCCGGCATTTGATCCCGCGACCTGCGCGTCAGCAGCCGAGTACCTTAGCCACTAGACCACCGCGGAGGGTTGTACTGAAAGACCATATCAATCGTTGAAAGCTTGACTGCCACTGACGAGGAGGGGTGCGGTATTTCGAACAACCACCTGATAGCGTTTGAAGGGCAGAAGAAAGCTGCAGAAGTGATCACGCCATTTCTGCATACAGTAGCGTCCATATATACTTGTAAATAGTCTTCGAATTTTTCGAATAAATGTGAATGGGCTAAGTGGCATAGTTCCGAAACAAGCTGGTCACACTTTTTCCGTATTACTGTTTTCACTGATGTTGGAAGGTACATTAGTGGTGCTCTTTCGATGTAGCCTTGCGGAGCCCTGTGTTTTGCGACATTGTTCCTGTAAGATGCCTGTAAAGCACAACATAATTTAAGGAAGGAAGCCGAAAGTTGTGAATTAAATAACGAACTAACCCGAGGAAACGTTTATTTTACATGTATAAACAAGAACCTATTAGCTACAGATGTGCAACAGACTTGCACCAGCCAATATTGCCTTAACGCGTTATGATCACTGTGAAGCGTGACTGCGTGCATGATAGCCCCGCCGTGGTGGTCTAGTGGCTAAGGTACTCGGCTGCTGACCCGCAGGTCGCGGGTTCGATTCCCGGCTGCGGCGGCTGCATTTCAGATGGAGACGGAAATGTTGTAGGCCCGTGTACTCAGATTTGGGTGCACGTTAAAGAACCCCAGGTGGTCAAAATTTCCGGAGCCCTCCACTACGGCGTCTCTCCTAATCAAAGGTGGTTTTGGGAGGTTAAACGCCACAAATCAATCAATCAATCTGCGTGCATGATCTCTCTTCTCTCTCCCTTTCTCTATCTTTACACTACCGCACTCTTTTCCCATGCGTAGCGTATCAGTCCCCCTAGACTGGTTAAGATCTTTGGCTCTCTTTCCTCTTCCCTCATTCGTTCCTAATAACTTTGCTCATATTTACGTGTATTGTCGTCGTACACCCAACAATGGTCGACTTTAGAAAGTGAGGTGTTTCCTGAAATAGTCTTGAAGGAGAAGGTGATGCAGTTACAGATAAATATAACTATCGTTTAGAGTGTGTGCGTGTTGTGCTAGAGCCTGTTTTCCAATTGCAGTTTCAGTAACAACCCAGAAGCCGAAAAAACTGGGGAAACCGTGGTTCTCCAAAAGAAAATGGAAGCCATGGCGCAGGGGCTGCAAGTACTGGCTTATGCATGGTGCATGCTGCCAAGAGGTCTGGCTTGTTTTCGAGAAGAGTTCTCGAGGGAAGACGCGACGGCTACTTGTTTACACTGGATGTCGCTACGACATGTACAGAATATTCGCATACGATTTTTCTTCACGAAAATGTTACGGTAAGTTAATCGAATTTTATTCTTTTAAGAAATTGTTTTCGTATGCATATTGATAGGAAATTATAAATACTTTTGTTTCGAATGCTAAATACTTTCTCTGGTCTTCCGTCTTCAGAGAATGAATTTGTTCACAATTTACTATTCACTTCCGAAGATCCCGGCTGAATGTTACAAGTTAAAGGGGTTCAACAAAATAAGTATATCATATTTCAGAACTAGACGCAATGATACAGCCAGAACGTATAAAAGAAAAATAACTCTTTTAAATGAAGGCTTCGTTACCAATACAACTTTACAGTTTAATCGAAAGAAACAGGTTATCTTATAATTCTACTGACGAAGCGGGGAAATTTCTTTTATCAGAAGCATTTCGGGAGCCCTTCTTTTGGGAAAACCTGGGCAATCGAAGGTTGCAGTATGTGTTTCCGACGTAATTTCTTTCTTTGTCTCCTTTTTTCCTATGTTGATTTCTTACTTATTTTACTATCGGCCTTTTTCTAAAAGAAGCGAGAAAGATTCGATTTATTCGGGGCGCGGCGCGATTACACTCCTACGGATTCAACATCGTGCTTAATCCCTTACGTACCGGTGACGACGTCGAAACATGAAGGCATGCATAACAAAAAAGTACAGCATTGCGAAATACTGAATGAAGTGTGGTGAATGATCGAAGCGATATGCAAGCAACTGCTCACTGCCTACTTGTGCATGAAGGACACATAATTGATCATCAGAGAGCAGTCATACAAACAGCCACTTGTGCGACGCACCGTCGATAGCTGCATATATTGATTTGTTGCATCAAAAAAATTTTCGCGTACGACAAAATATTCAGTAGTACTCGCTGTTTGACTGTGTGTCTGTATGAACAGTCAGTTTAGTTGGTGTTAAAATGTTTATTAGCTTTAGCAAGAAGTGCATTGACACTGGGCTGTATTCCTCACGAATAAACACAGATGAGTTCCCGTCTCGTCTATGTGTTTTTTCTTTATTTCAGTGTGATCTTGATTTGGGGACATGATTGACTGTTGAATTCGGAAAAAATGTGTATTGATATTTGTAACTCACTAGAAAATTCGCTTGCACGTTTCGATGCACACCAGACGCAAACATTTCTGTAGACTTACCAACAGTTAACGATGTCATGTCGGTTCAAACGAGCGCGGCCGAGCAAAAAATAAACATTTTTCTGAATAACTAATGAGAAAAAAAAGGAATTGTAGAGACAAGTGCATATTTCATTATTATTCCAAACCTACTCGATTCCGCGGGGTAAAACGAGAGGCTCAAGGAAGTTCTTTTTGTGAATAAAAGTTTTTTTTTAAGGGGGTGGAGAGAGGATGTACTTTAATCATATGGCTGCTTGTAGAAGGGCTGATTTACAGCGAAATTGAACATTTCCAGGTGTATCTGCAGTGTTTCGGTGTGCACCATGATAACGTACACTGTATTCGTGAGAATCGCAAAAGAATGTTTGTAGGAAGCGAGTGAAAGGAAATTGTCGTTAGGCGCCAACATAATATTTCGGTCCTGGTACGTATAAAAGTAGTGGAATGTCATAAAACAATCAATACTACAAGGTCGTATATACATTGCGATAACAATGTGATCTTACATTCTTATATGATTCTTGCTGTTCTTTTTTAGAATTGAAAAAACGCCCACGTGCCCAAGGACAGCAGCCAAGCGAAAAAGAGTTGGAACTACTTCGTGATAGAAAACGAGGATGTCAACACAAAACCTCAAATTCAGCGAACGCACCATCCACCCTACCCGAAAAACCGGCCCCGTCAGGAATGCCCCCCAAACCAAGCATAGCTAGCCAAATCTCGGAACCCACCAAGCATCCCACAAACACTGCACAAAAGAATGCCTTGAAGTCAACACTTACAAAACGAAACATCAAGTCAGTAGCACCAAAGAATCAAGACAAGCCCACCTGATTAAATGAACAGAATTCCCTGAAACATGCGTTATAGGTGAATGCCACGCAACTAAACAGGGCCCAAATCTCTAACATTAACCATGTGACGTGAGGACAATCTAATCAAGATAGGAAACACCTTCACTAAAGTGGCCGTTTTGGTGTAGTAAAAGGTGATGACCAGTACCACTTCTGAGTACCATCAAACAAATAGCCGGAAGATCGTATAATAACAAAAACAAAAGAGCTCGTACTTTGTTGCCTATTTTAGATAAAATAATTGCACTCATTAGCACTTTCCTTTCATACACACGCACAGCATAACATTTTCTTAATGCCTCATAAACATGAACGCCTAAGGAGCATGAGAAATCGAAATACACTGAATCTTCTTTGATGGAAGTATATGCAAAAGAAAGATAAAACAAATATAAGCGAGGAATGTGAAGTATACTTTCCTTCCACGTGCTGACTTACAGGTGGAGTCAAGAATACTAAGCTAGAAAGCTGCACTGAGGCCCATCTAGTAGAAAACTATTCTCTGTTATTACACATCAAGATCTAGAAAAGCAAATTTCAAAAAAGTGTTCTCTGGAAATTTACTCAGATTAGTCCAGGGACACTTCAACAGCTTTAGAAAATGTCATTGGCCTCTTCCTTCCTTACAATAACTCATCTTCAAAAGTTTCAAATGTGGACCGAGCTAAAGCAATACACATAACGTTTGGCTATGTTTTTTCTCCAGTTGTCCATATACGTTTTATTCAGAGGTAAGCCTGTCTAATTAGAAGAGGCGAGCCTCATTCGAGTGTTGTCGTGTGCCCACTAAGCAAGCGAAAACGAAATGCGCCTTCATGTACGTGTAGAAAACCAAACAGTTGCCACAGATGCCTGAGCACACAGATTCGCTTCATTCACAGATACAAGATTGAAGCCTATTAAGCGTAATCAGTCTTGTCAGACTCCTTGTTCATACATCTCTACACGTGCCTACGTCCATAAAATGTGGATAAGTTGTTCACGTCTTCAATAGCAGTTCACCAAATCCACACTGAACGCTATAATTGAGAATTTTTTCCATAAAATGGCATGCCTCTCAGTAATGCTTTTCTCTTTACAAGGTGCCCATCACCAAACGGAGAAGCAGTACATTTCGTGACTGAATAGACTCAAGCAGCCACGGTAAATGCTCGATCAATTATTCGATTCAAGCACACAAGTACTGTGAGCCTTCATTCAGAACGCAACATTAGAAAGTTCTCTTTATTACGTTTCCCACATGTGTATGCAAAATGGACTAAATAATACTGCTATAACTGTCTTCCTTGCGTATTTCTTATAGATAGAACAGTTAAGAAGGATTTTGTTTCTCTACCAAAAAGAAGACAAAAAATTGGCCCAGGATCTGCTTGGTACATTGCAAATGCCACCGAAAGATGATAGTCTTGCGTCTGGAGAGAGTGAACAAATCATTTATTTGACATTATGCGCAAGAAAATCGGTGATAGGTATTCTGAAGGCACTGCGTTAGAATGCCTCGAGCGTGCAGTATAGGCGAACGAGCGCATCGAGGCACGTTAGACGCGAACGCCATCTACCAGTTATCTTTGAAAACGAAGGAAGACATGCGCGCCTGCGGAGAAAGGTGCGTGCCATCCTCGGAGGCGATAAGGTGTACAACGCAAAGCGACGGGTAGGTGCACCACCGTGTTCGTTTCAGCAAAGCGATGGTAACACGTGCCTCTTTGAGAACCGCGTTGCACTGTCAGTGCAGCGTGTTGAACGCTGCAGTCCTTATAATTACTTGTGCGTGCCTTCTGTAGTATAAAGACACACATACAAAACATCGGCGTGTTGGTATGGTACCTCAGATATGCGCAATGATTGCTTTTCAATTGACAATCGCACAAGTATGAACGCTGAATCTCGAGCAATATTGGTGGGTGCTGCGGACGGAGTGCGCCGTTTGAAATATCGTTAAAATTGGACAAACAGACAAATGTACACACAGATAGACAGACAGACAGACAGATCAAAATTTTTCTTCAGAGGTCCCCAAGAAATACTATCGTCTTCAAAACAAGTAATGCCACGTTCTCACTTTAGCGTTGTTTACGACCAGACCTAGTTAACGACATATTTTAAATTAAACTAATTGTTAAGCGGTTTATTGACGGACACTCAGCGATGATTCACGACAGCGACAGTCAATGTGGGGATCGACTCTCTGCACGAGCTGCTCTTCTTCTTAAGAAAAGGGCGACCCACTAGAAGGCGCTGAAAAGGATGACCCACTGTTCAAAGGCTTTACCACAACTACCCCGGATACGAAAAGGGAGCCACCTGGCGACCTAACAGCTGGTTACAATGAGCGGATCATGGTAGGCCTTGAGGCGCTCCACGTTAACAATGTCGCGTCCTCGACGACGCATGTCCGAAGATTGTTCGATGGGTTCAATCAAGTAGTTGACTGGGGAAGTGCATTTGACGACACGGTAGGGGCCTTCGTATTTAGGCAATAGTTTTGAAGATAGGCCAGTTGCAGTAGTAGGGATCGAGAGCCAGACAAGCGCTCCAGGGAGGAATGTGGGTGCAGTAGTACTGGCGTCAGCGCGAATGCTTTTTTGCCGCTCTTGATCATGCGCAGTAAAGGTCTTTGCAAGCTCTCGACATTCTTCAGCAAGCTTGGCTGTAGCAGAAATAGGTGCCCACTCAGATGGATCTGGCCTGTACGGAAGTATCGTGTCGATGGTGTGTGACGGGTGCCTTCCATATAATAAAAAGAAAGGTGAAAAGCCAGTAGTGCTCTGAGGGGCGGTATTATATGCGTAGGTGACGAAGGGTAGAATGGAATCCCAATTTGTGTAATCGGCGGCGACGTATTTGGAGAGCATGTCGCCCAGCGTACGGTTGAAGCGTTCTGTGAGGCCATTCGTCTGCGGGTGGTAAGCAGCAGTTTTGCGGTGAACAACGTTGCACTCTTTGAGAATGGCTTGAACGACTTCAGACAGGAAGACACGGCCTCGGTCACTGAGCAGTTCCTGGGGTGGGCCGTGTCGCAGAATGAATCGTTGGAGCAGAAAGGAAGCCACATCGCTCGCTGTAGCCGCGGGAAGAGCGGCCGTTTCGGCGTATCGCGTGAGGTGGTCCACAGCAACAATGGCCCAGCGGTTACCAGCCGACGTTAGTGGAAGTGGCCCATACAAATCGATGCCAACGCGCCCAAACGGCCTGGCAGGGCAAGGTAGAGGTTGCAAACCTACCGGCGACAGGTGCGTTGAAGCTTTGCGGCGCTGACATTCTATGCAGGAGCGAACGAATTTCTGCACGTAGCGGTACATGCCACGCCAAAAGTACCGTTGGCGTATGCAGTGGTAAGTCTTCGATACCCCGGAGTGCGCACACTGCGGATAAGAATGAAAGAATTCGCATATGTCAGAGCGCAGACTGCGAGGTATGACTAGTAGCCACTGGCGGCCGTCACCGTTGTAATTGCGTCGATGGAGGAGGTCGTCGCGAACGGCGAAATGGTGGGCTTGACGACGCAACGCGCGAGTGGATGGAGTGGATGGATCAGTCAGCAAGTCTATCAGTGAGGCAATCCATTGATCCTTGCGCTGTTCAGTAGCAATGACATGAATGCTAATCGAAGAAATGGCAAGGTGAGACACTGAGTTGTTGGCATTGTCGTCAGGCAAGGGAGAGCGCGACAGGGCGTCGGCGTCAGCATGTTGCCTTCCATTGCGGTACAGCACGCGGATGTCATAGTCTTGCAGGCGAAGTGCCCACCGGGCGAGACGGCCTGAGGGATCTTTCAATGACGACAACCAGCATAGTGCGTGGTGGTCGGTGACGACATCAAATGGGCGACCATACAAATAAGGTCGGAACTTTGCAAGGGCCCAGACGATTGCCAAACATTCTTTCTCGGTGACTGTGTAATTAGTCTCGGCTTTAGTAAGCGTACGGCTCGCGTACGCCACGACCTATTCCGGGAACCCTGGTTTGCGCTGCGCAAGGACAGCGCCAAGGCCGACACCACTGGCATCCGTGTGTACCTCTGTAGGGGCCGTAGGGTCGTAGTGGCGGAGTATGGGAGGCGACGTCAACAAACGACGAAGTGTTCTGAAAGCGTCGTCGCACTGTGATGACCACGAATGGAGAGGCCCGTTACTTCCGAGAAGCTTCGTCAGCGGCGATATGATAGTCGCGAAGTTTCGAATGAAGCGCCGAAAGTAGGAACACAGTCCTACGAAACTGCGCAGTTCCTTCACGGATGTCGGCTTGGGGAACTCAGTCACGGCCCGAAGCTTGGTTGGATCAGGGAGAATTCCGTCCTTGGACACGACGTAGCCGAGTATTGTCAGCTGCCGAGCTGCAAATTGGCACTTCTTTAGGTTCAGTTGCAGACTGGCGTTTCTCAGACGCGTTAAAACATGCCGAAGGCGTTGAAGGTGCGTCGAGAAGTCAGGAGCGAAAACGACGACGTCATCGAGGTAGCACAGGCACGTGTGCCATTTCAGGTCACGCAGAACTGTATCCATCATGCACTCAAAGGTGGCGGGCGCATTGCACAGCCCAAACGGCATAACGTTAAACTCGTACAAGCCGTCAGGGGTGACAAAAGCGGTCTTTGGTCGAGCGTCCTCCGCCATAGGTACTTGCCAGTACCCTGAGCGCAAATCGAGGGATGAAAAGAATTCTGCTCCTTGCAGGCTGTCAATCGCGTCATCTACCCGCGGTAGTGGATACACGTCCTTACGAGTGATCTTGTTGAGGCGTCGGTAGTCTACACAGAACCACACAGAACCGTCCTTCTTCGTGACGAGAACGACAGGAGATGCCCAGGGGCTGCTAGAGGGGCGAATAACATCGCGGCGAAGCATGTCGTCGACTTGCTCGTTGATTACACGGCGTTATGTGGGAGATACGCGATATGGACGTTGCCGCAGCGGTGGCTGTGCGCCTGTGTCGATGCGATGCGTAACGGTGGATGTGCGGCCGAGAGAAGGTTGAGCGACATCGAAAGAAGAGCGGAATTCTTCCAACAGGCCCAAAAGCTGGGAACGCTGGCCCTGCGTAAGGTCGTCGGGTATGCAGGGACCGAATATATCATCGGATGATGAAGCAGATGTCGAAACAGCACCAAGCGTACAGGAACTTGGGCAGTGCATGTCATCGGGTTCATCCATAACTTGCGCGTCTTCGATGGGTTCCACGCTGCCGAGACATTCTCCTCGCACCAACGTAACGCTGTACGGAGATGAGTTCACAACAAAAATAGTGGTGCTGCCGTGAGTGAGTTGCACGGTCGCGAAAGGAACCAGCAAGCTTTTTCTTATGAAAACTCGATGAGATGGCGAGAGGAGTGCAGCGGTGTCAGAAAGGCTTTCGCAGTAGAGCGACACCGCAACAGACGAGTTTGCAGGCACTTGAGTGTCGTCTCTGACAAGTAACTTGCTTGCAGCGGATGGACTGTCGGCCGGCGTCAAAGAAGAGAATGGCGCGAGTTCTATTTCTGCTGGTGCGCAATGAATGACGGCGTCGTGGCGGGAGAGAAAATCCCATCCTAGGATGACGTCGTGAGAGCATGAAGAAATTATTATGAATTCGACCGCATACATCACGTCCTGAATCATAAGGCGGGCTGTGCACATCGCTGTAGGGTGAATGCTTTGGGCGCTGGCTGTACGGAGGGAGAGCCCGCAAAGCGGCGAGGTCACTTTGCGCAGTAATCGGCAAAGTTTTTCGTCCATCACGGATACGGCGGCTCCAGTATCTACAAGGGCAGATGCACGAACGCCATCCACAAGCACGCCTATCACGTTCGATGGGCTTTCCTGAGGGCTTCCGCAGTTCGACAGCGTCGCAGCCCTTGCCTCGTGGACTGCGACAACTAGTTTTCCTGGTCGCCCTCGAGTGGACGTGGCCGCATCAGTGACAGTGAGCGACGTCGTGGAGATGGTGAACGGCGGGTAGACGGAACGGGGCGGGACGACGGTGACATAGGCGGCGGTTGGTCATAAGAGCGGCTTGACTGGCTGGGAAAGTTGGAGGCGACCTGCGGTTGCTGCACACGATTGCAATATCGTGCCACATGACCGACGCAACCACAAGCAAAGCAGATGGGGCGATTATCAGCAGTGCGCCATTGGTTTGCTGGTCGCATCCATGTCGCAGAACGCGATTGGCGAGCCGGCTGCTGATATGAGTGCATGGTAGGCGGCACTCGGGGCACGTGGGTGACGCCGGCGTATGTA